CTTGCCTAGGCTGGCGACCGTAGACTGGTTTTTCATGTGCCACTTGGTAAACAAAAGCTGCTGAGCTGACACTTTTGTGGGCCGCAGGTAGGCCTGGCAGTCAGTGCTCGTTAGAATCCGTTGGAAGCTTTCAGGGGGGGAGCCGTTCAGCCAAGGCCAGGTTTCAGGTTCGTGTACCACAGCGCACGAGGGGCTGGGTTGATGTGCTGCGTGGACTCGTTGGACACCGAGCGGGCACCTGTGCGGAGCAAACAGACCTGCGGTTGATCAGATGTGCGCGGAGGTTCGCACCCTGCTAGGCAGAGCGGCGGCTTTACGGCCAGTCAGCACCAGACAGAGCCGGCAAGCAGAAGCAAGTCAGTCAAGCCGCTCGCGCCCGAAAAGCTTGTCCACATGGTGCAGCAGGCGGTGATGTTTGTGCCAGGTCGGCTTTGCTTCCTGTTCGGCTGCGGCAAGGTGTGCTATGGAGTGCAGGCGTGCTTCTTTGCTTCATGCGACCTTATAATTGCGGAGGTTTACTTACTTGTTTAGAATTGGCTGAAGTTATCTAGCGAGATCCGTAGCAGAAGCCGTTTATAGAGTTGTCCGTATATATGAGGTTTTGAAACGCCTACATAAAATTTCTGCATGTGTGACAGTGTGTGTTTACTCGTACATGCTGGCTTTTGGAAGCGGTTGCCTGCTGTTTCCTGCAGGCACATCGGTTGAAGTGCTGCTGCTCCCCAGCGCCGTGAGCCCAGAATGTCGCGGAGGGTCTACATTCGGCCTGTCAGCTCACAGAGGTTCCTTGTGGCGCTTTGCTTACGAGCCACATTGGACAGCCGGCAGCGTCTTCAAAGGGCTTGACCCAAGTATGGAGCCGCCGACAGCCGGCAGCGTCTTCAAAGGGCTTGACCCAAGTATGGAGCCGCCGACATAAGTCGAGGTTGCTCATTGTTATGGCCTGCAAGCACACCAATAGTAAATGTGCCAGACTAAATTTGTGCAGACTCAGGCTCAGCTTGCAAGACGGCAAGCGCGGGGCCCGGCCAAAGAAGAATCATGGCGGGATCTTGGAATCTTGTCACTTCCGTTAGCTTGGTTCCAACTCGAAGGCTGTTTTCCCAATTCCCAAGACCCACCTCCTCCGGCATGCTCTAAGGCTCCTGAAGTAAGTGAAGCATCCTTGGGTTTCTTTCGGCAGCTGTCAGCTCGGGCTGTCAAGAGTTCTTTCTTCCGAGATCGCTGCTGTCAGAGTTTGACCACCGGGGTCAAGCTGCGTGTTCCTGTGTCGCTCGACTTGACGCCCATGGATGGTTTAACATCTGCTGATAAAAATGTACTCGTAGTGAATAAGTGGACATGCATAACTGCTACACCCCTCGGAGTTGCAGCAACATCCACTCGTTATTTCAATGTCTGATAACATTTTAATCACGTGATCAATGCATCGTGTGCCAAGGCACAAGCCTGTTTATCCAGTACTATCGCTTTGCTCTGACTCGATGTGTATTTTTTCAGAGATTTCCAGAGTAGCGCAGTCTCGCGATTCATGATGTGTTGAGAAATCCACTTCTTAGTGGATGTGGTATACATATCTGACGAAATGACCGTCATGACCTTCCGGGTTTGTGTTTGCGTAAAGTGCGCTGGTGTGCAAATGACGGACATTTGCAGGGTGCAGTTGCGAACCAGCACGTCGCCTGCCGCAACGATGCCTTGGGTTTCGCAGGAGGCAAGTTTGCATGTCGAAAGTGATAGGCAGAAGCTGATACCAAGAAGGTAGCTTCACGTATTTTCATGCCCACCGACTTGTTGCTCCAAGCCTTGTCGCAGGTGGAAAAGACTCGTCAGATCACCTTGCTGCTCGACAGCTGACTCGGGGCGGGACCTGACGATTCGTCATGACACGGAACACAGCTTGTTGAAACACTAGGACACTGCAGTGTGAGGGACTCGTGCTTCGTTCAGCACAGATGGTCCGCCTGGGCATGAAATCTGTGACATCACAAGAAACGAGACCGCCTCATGGTCCGTTCGCCTTTCGCATGGCTATGAGTGAGCATGTACAATCTTCGCTAAAGATTATGGACAGGGTCTACAGCAAATTTAGGCTTGGCCCGCGGAGCAGTGGCATGTTGGCACAGATGCTGACCGTTGCTAGCCGCAAGCTTGAGGCTGAACATCAACTCCTATGGTTCTGGAAGCCTGGGGCTTAAACTGTGACAAGAAGGGTGTGTTTTGCCCCCACCTTGCCCCCTGGCGGCTTTTTCAGATTCGCACTGTGCTCGACGGAATCCGGTCTCGCTAGCGGGAATCCTTCCACAATCCAATCTCTTTATGATGGAGACACCCTTGCATGGCACGCGACTCCGACAGTGCGAACTGCTCCAGGGGTAGTGCTCAACCACGACGACCTCCTCGACACGTCGCCTTCGGACCAGTTGTTGGAGCTGGCCGGGATCCCCCAAGTTTGAGCCTAGCCATGTAAATACTCTGTGGAGGTGCATGGGCCATTCTGATCGTGTGTATGGGTCGGTTTAGCGCTAAGATGCTGCATGTGAGACGTTCTGAGTTTCGACAACAGTTAGAATGCCGTGTGCTATAAGGCCACAGTAGCATGTCCCAGAACTTTACTTGCGCAATTTTGCACTGCTACATGGGTTCGGAGACGAGTTGCGCTTCCCAGCAGAAACGCTTCAAGTGATACAGACTGCTTGACGGCACCACGTGTTCGGCATTGTGGCCTGCATGCGCATGCTGTCTTGACAGATGTGATTGTGGCAGCCAGCCATCTTGCAACATGGGAAGCATTGACCTGCTCGCAGGTGGCCGTGCGGAATGCATGTTCCTTCGGATGTGCGTGGCCGTCACACTTAATGCACCAGCAACAGCACTCACAGTCTGGTATCTCATCGCCTGAGCAAGCATCGTTTGTGCCAGATGCGAGAGTTGGCAAAGTAGGCCTGCGCAGAACCTTCTCTAGCAGCACCGCGCGCCTGCAAGCTGGGAGATAAACGGTCTGGATGGAGCCAGGTCATGGCCGGAGGCACCGCAGAGGTACACGGCAGCGTTGAGAGATTTGTTCCGTGTGGCATGTACACGAACTCTAAATGTCAGCATGATTTCAGCATGTCCCGTTGCATCTTATGAGCTGCTTTCCTGTCATGAGACTTGCTCTCCGCAGCTGTGGGCTCGGCCTTTACAGCGAGGCCAAGATGACGGCGACAGAAAACTACCCATGGTCGGGCAAAGGCAAAGGCCAGGCCAAGGGTGCATGGGGCAAAGGCGCCAAAGGCAGATGGTCCCGTGAGGGCTGGAAAGGCTGGGGCAAGGGCGTAAATGCCTGGGAGAAGGGAGCTGGACCCAGAGGCAAGGGCAGGGGGAAAGGGAAGGGCAAACGCCAATCTGCGTGGACCTGGAATCAGACCTGCGTCCTCATGCCCGGAGATGTCGTGCGCCTGCGGCGCTTTGATGATCCCGACATTCACATTGGCCCGCTCACTGTCTCGAGCCTCGCACAGGACCCAGGGCAGTGATTGCACACTGCTGCCACTGCGACTACTGCGACTTTGACTGCGATGATTCGCGCATCGATCTACTACTACGCCCGCAGGGCCGCATAAGGCCGCACACTTATCATGGGACCAGGAATGAGACAACCGAACAAGAACAAGAGCAAGGACATCAACCACCACCAACAATCACGACGACAAAAGAGCGACAGATCGACAACGGCAACAGCATCAGCAGCAACAAGAATAACAATAAGCACAAGGGCACGAAGGACTGCTACTAAGCTACTACTACCACTACTACTACGACGACTACTACTACTACTACTACTACTACTACTACTACTACTACCACTACTACTGCGACGACGACGACTGCTACTACTACTACCACCACCACCACCACCACTACTACTACTACTACTACTACTACTACTACTACTACTACTACTACTACTACTACTACTCCTACTCCTACTCCTACTCCTACTCCTACTCCTACTCCTAATCCTAATCCTACTCCTACTCCTACTCCTACTCCTACTCCTACTCCTACTCCTACTCCTACTCCTACTCCTACTCCTCCTCCTACTCCTACTCCTACTCCCACTCCTACTGCTACTACTACTACTACTACTACTACTACTACTACTACTGCTACTACTACTACTACTACTACTGCGGCTACTGCTACTGCTACTGCTACTGCTACTGCTACTGCTGCTGCTGCTACTGCTACTGCGACTTCGACTACGACTAAGACGATTACTGGTACTACTACGACTACGACGACGACTACTACTACTACTGCTGCTGCTGCTGCTGCTACTGCTACTGTTACTGCTGCTGCTATTGCTGCTGCTGCTGCTACTGCTGCTGCTACCACCACCATCACGACGACGACTACTACTACGACGACGACGATTGCGACTACTACTACGACTACTACTACCACCACCACCACTACTACTACACCTACTACGACTACTACTACTACTACTACTACTACTACTACTACTACTACTACTACTACTATTACTATTACTACTACTACTACTACTACTACTACTACTACTACTACTACTACTACTACTACTACTACTACTACTATTACTACTACTACTACTACTATTAGTACTATTATTATTACTGTTGGAGATTCAGCATGAGCCCCTGCGCATGATGACACGCACATGCAGGCCTTTTTTGCTCAGCGTATATAAAGTTGTTGCGTGCTTTCGGGGTGTTAGTCCAGGGTCGAGCCTAGAGTCCCAAGCGTAGGAACCAAAGGTTCCTCTAAAGGCCCTTCCCCGGTAGATCCTCGAAAAGAGGTTAGGAGCCCAAGCTCCCTTAGGGTTCCTATAGCTCTACTTTGTAGGCTTAGGCCCCTAAGTATCGCCCTCCGCTCCCCGAACTTTGTAAGTCTAGGCTCTGAGTCCTAGCTTAGTCGGGTGTATCTTAGTGCTGAGCTTGTGGGTTAGAGTGTAGTCTCTTCCCTGAGAAACCATGGATACGTCCCTCCGCCGGCGCAGATCTGAGCGCCAAGATCCCGACTTTCAGGATGTGGATCAGGCGCAAGCCTTGGAGGCTGAGACCGAGGACCCAGCTTCTTCAGAAGGTCCGGCGGAGGCTCACCTTTTTTGGTCGGAGCGAGCTAAAGCCGAAGTGGAGTTGCAAAGGGCTAGGCCGCAAAGCCTCAGGGAGGCCCGTAAGCTTCCAGAGGTGAAGGTCGATGAGGTTGTTTTGGAGCCAGACTATGATTTGGGGCCCGGGGGAAAGGGCCGAGGAGCTTCGCCGGTTCTGGAAAGCGAGGTTGTGAGAGCAGCTTCAGGAAGGGCAGATGGTCATTCGAGGAACAAGGTGGATGGTGTGCAAAGGGGTCAGGAGCTGTTTCTGGAGCAGGCCCAGCACAGCCGGGGTTTCAAGGACTCCCTAGCTCAGGGGCCGAAACAGGCTACAAAGCAAACGGAGCCTGTGGACCTCTTGTCGATGTCTCCTATGAAGATGACCTCTGAGGGAATAAACAACCCTCGGCTTCAACCACCTACGATCCCGGAGATGGAAGGACCCTTTTCCCTGCCTGAACGTGAGAACCAAAGCCCAAAGCCGTCTGCCATCCTGGATGTGGAAACGGCTGGACACGTGCCGATGCTGCAGCATGGAGCAACTGAACGACGGCAGTCAGGTGTTCAGGACCTTTCGAATTCTGGAGTTCCTGCTTCGGAAGTTGGGGAGTTCTCCAGGATTGGTGGGCCACGGATGATGCTTGGGAATTCTGCAGGCTCTACGCTTCAGGAGTTCTCGTCAACGACCGGAGTAGGGGCTTCAGAAGGGAAGGTTCTGAACAGGTCTCACCTCGAACTAGATTCTGGTACCGCGAGAGTAGGAAACGAAAGGGCTGAAAGTGTCAGTGAAGGCACAGCAAGGAGGTCTATCCCTCTGTCTCCAGAAGCCCAGAAACCCCAGAAGAGTTCGGCCTATGAGATTCCGGATCCTTCAGAACAGCACTTCGAAATTGTTAGACTACAGTCTTTGGTTGAGCATCTTCATGATAGGCTAGAGAAAGCTGAGGCTGAACGTAGTACGAGAGGATCCAGATCTTTTGGGTCGGCCTCTTCTGGGCGTAGAGTAGAGGAACTAGAGCTCAAGGGCCAAAGGGTAAACTTTCAGTCTGAGGAGGGTTATCCTTTGCCCCCGGTGCCACCTCTGCCTCCTTTCGCCTCCGAGCTGGAATACTTCGGACCCCCTTCATTCCACTCACGACCTGGTCTTGGGTCAGGAGCCTCCACGTCAGTCCTCCCTCGATATGGATTTTGGCACCTCTGTTCATTCCCCGATGGTTTTTCCTGGGGACATGGTGCCTTTGACTTCAACTGCGAGTGCTCCTGGGGCCACCCTTTCGCCTTCTGAGGTTCCGTCTATGGACTTTGGACTTCACTCTTTTACAGGGCCCCCAGGAGTCCAATCCTCCTCAGGGATTCCCAATCCCGTTTCTCCTTCCGAGGTTCCTTCGATGGACTTTGGACTTCATTCTGCTGCGGGTGCTGGACCTCAGTACTTCGCTTTGTCTCCCCGTGCCCAGTTGCCGACTCCGTCTGGTGTGATAAGGGTTATGGGAGTTAATCATAGCTGGAAGGTGGTTAATGGTTCGTTGGTTTTAGAGCCTGTGGACTTCGTCCCTCCTCCTCCTCCGCAGTGGACTTCGCCCTTGGTCGCAGCTCCGCCCATTCCTGGGGCGTGGAGCAACAGTCCATCTCCTCCTAAGTACCCTGCGTTTGGAGCACAACTTCCATTGCCATCTTGCCATGCTGTCTCCTCCTGCGCGGGAGAGGCAATGCCTCGATGTCAATCGCCTCCTCCGAGGCCTCCTTTGTCCACTCCGCCTCCGAGCCCACCGGCCCCTTCGGGTTTAAGTCTTCCCATAGCTGCCCCGCCGGTTGGAAATAGTGGTCAGGTTGATGTTAAGGACCTTAGGCCTGAGGCTGTGGGTAAACATGTAAGTTCCCTACCGTCCCCCGTCCCTAGAGGCCTACAACCCTAACAACCCCACCGCGCTTGGAGATTGGATCGCAGTGGTCCAGCCGATGATTTCTTCACTGTCAGACACCGGAAGTGTCTGGTGGGGTTATACATACCAGGCGGCCAACCAGGCCTATGTGCGGTGGCTATCCACCTCCCCGCTTGAAAGGCTGTCGATCCAGAAGGAGTTTGATCAAGTAAACTTGGTGCAGCCCCAGCATACCTTGCTGGAACAGCGATGCGTGACCTTGATTCTTCAGGCGATCCCGGATGCTGTGAGGGTTGACGTTGTCGCCTCACGCCACCTGAGTGTGGCAGGAATGATTTTCCGTCTGATGACGGTTTCAGCCTGGGGGAGCGTCAGAACGATCAACTATGTTGCGTTTTTTGGTGACGCCGAAGGCGGCTTCCACCTTGTCGGAGGCTGCAAAGCTGCTTAGGCAGTGGACCCAATGGCGTATGCGCCTGAAGCAACTGCATGCCGCAGAGCCTGACACTACGCTTTTGGTGAAGGGTCTAGATGATCTGACAGGAAGGGTGTTACAAAAGCACTCAGCGAGCCTCTTCCGGCTTGCCACTTTCCGCGAGCGGCTTGGGGTTGACTACCAGCCGACCTCCGACGCTGTGTCGGAGTTGTGTCGAATGATGCAGGCGGAGGTGGAGCATCTGATGCACTCCACAGATGACAATCCTGTGAAGGATGAGGTTCCGGGCCGAGGGGATGATGCTAAGAAGCAGCGCTTGCAGCGCTTGCAGACGTCTCCGAGTACCCCGAAGGCCAAGACTTCTCCCGCGGGACCCAAGACGCCGGGTGCAGGCATGAAGCCTTGCAGAAGCTGGCTAACAGCTGGCGGTTGCGCGTATGGGTCGTCCTGTCAGTTTTTCCATGACCAGGATGAGGAAAAGATGCGGGGCCGATGCTTCAGTTGCAGTGCCGAAGATCATTGGGCAGACTCATGCCCGGTGAAAGCCAGGTTGAAGGCGGAGGCTAAGGCCGCCAATGAGGAGTCCCCTTCCACTAGCCCTAAGCCACCGAAGGCCCCTGCCGATTCCTCCCCTAAGGGTAAGACTAAAGGGAAGGCTAAGGAAGGGAAGGGTAAGGAAGGTAAGCCTGGGGGTAAACCTAAGGTTGCCACCGTAGACCCTCAAACCGCGCCTGCCGGAACCGCGAATGACCAGGCAGAGACTGCAGCTCCGAGTACGGGGGATGGCAATGCAGCCATCAATGCAGAAATCTTGAGCGTGCTAAGGTCGATAAAGACCAAGGCCCTGCGGCTTAGTGCTGTGAGCAACCCGACGGGCTACGGCTTGTTGGACAGCGGAGCTTCCGCTTCACTCCGCCAGGCCTCACCTCAGGAGATCCAGGAGTCCCGCCCGGTGAGCGTGTCTCTCGCCGTTGGCGAAGCTGTGATGCATGTGAACTCCGCCGGAACTCTGTTGGTAAGGGAGTCTGTGCATCCAATCTTGCCAATGCACGCGTTGCCGCTTTTGGGCTGCGAGATCAACTGGACCGACCGGGGCATTCATGTGCGACATCCAGGTCTCGGGATCCTCCCGGTGAGACTTAAGGATGGCACTCCTGAGTTGCCAGAGTTTCTGGTGCTTCGCCTGATTGGCGAGTACGAGCGCTTCCTCTTGCGCCGTGAGACCTCAAGGGCCGTGTCGCAGCAGCTTTGGCAGCGATCAGTTGGCCAGGAGGAGGTTGGGCTTTCGTCCTTAAGGGAGTGGGTTGCAGCCCATGTGGAGGCAGATTCGTGCAGCGAAAGTGAGCTGCAGCTGATCGTTAAGACCCTTTTTCCCGGGCTCCCAGAACGGCTAGCGTCTCAGGTTGCGGTTAGTTAGTCCCACCTTTGATCCCTCCTGTGTTCCTTTCAACCGACGGACCAGGAGGCAGCTATTTGACCCTCAGGTCCCAACCTTGGTGCATCTGTTTGCAGGAAAGCAGCGGTGGCGACACTCTGTTGGCCAAGTGCTTGAGGTCGATATCTCCAGAGGATCGGACCTTCTTTCTGATGATGTGTTTGGTATGCTGCTGCGGGCAGCCACCCTGGGTGTCATCGATGGGGTCGTCTGTGGCCCGCCGAGCAGGACCTTCAATCCGGAAGCCCTGGCGTCTTCCTCTAATGGCTTGAAGTTTAGAGGGGAAGAAGGGGATGCTAGGTTTGGGTTTTCCGACCTCAGCCCTGCCGATCGTGCTTTGGTTGATCGGGACACCCTGTTGTTCCTCCGGTCCCTGCTGTTGACCTTAGTGGCCTCGTGTGCCAAAGAGAAGTTCTTCAACTGCTTGGAGATGCCTGAGTCTTCTACTGCGTGGGAATGGCCCGAGTATGAGAATGTTTCTGTGTGTCTGGGGGGATGGACCGCCAGCTTCGACCAGGGCACTCTTGGCCATCCCTGCTCTAAGGCCACTGCAGTGTATACAAGCAGCTTTCAGCTGTATGAGTCTCTTCATGAGTTGAAGCTCCCTCCAGAGGTGATTGAAGCCCCAGCTCCTAACTTCTATGGTAAGGAGTGGGCTCCTGGGCTTGTTAGCCGGGTTTTGCGTGCCTGGGATGACTACTGCTGTGTCAGCTTTGAGCGCCTGCAGGCTCACACCCGTGAGCGAGAAGGACTCCTTCTCAACTTGTGCCAGGAAGCCACTGTGGCTAAGATGTCACCCGAGGTTTGGGAAAGACACTGCCAGGCAGATCACTTGCCGTATCGCGACGACTGCCCGATTTGCATCCAAGGAGCTTCTCGCGACCGCTCCCACTTCACGAAGCATCCGCATCTGTTTGAGCTCTCCAGTGATGTTGCGGGTGCATACCACAAGGGCCGTGACTTCGGGGGAGCGTGCAGGTATTTTGTGATTTTCACAATAAGGGCGCCGGTAAAAAGTGATAAGAAGGAGTGGCGAGATAAGTCTTCTGAGATAGCTTTTCAAGAAAAGGTTGATGAGGCTAAGGCCCAGGATAAAGAGGATCCCCATGCAAGCTTGATCTACCAACCGGTGCATGTTACCGGAGAGCCCTTAAAGGGGGATGCTGAGCAGCCTTCTCGGGTTAAGGTGTAGCCTCCGCCCTTTGAGAACAGGAGAGATCGCTCTCCGCGTCGGGACCCTGACGCTGGGCCTGCCTTTCGTGTTGCTCGGCTCTTCTCGAACTCTGGTGGGTCCCCGTCGGCAACAGAAGCGTTCTCTCCGTGTGACACCTTCTGCAAGCAGGTGATTCTCGAAGGGAACTCCGTTTCCACGGGTCAGCTTGCGAATGCCATTCGACTGTACGTTCAGGACAAGAAAGCGATCAATCGGATCGCCAAGCGACCCCTAGCTGGGAACCAGAAGGATGAGTCTTCTGGAGCCACACTGCCTCCCTGGTTCTGGTCATCTGGAGCATGGGTTTTCAGTGCGAAGGTTGGAATAACTAATACGGTGCACGAGTGCCCGTGGCTCACCAGACTTCTTGCTGTGAGCCTCTTCCACCGCACTGGCCAGAAGTTTGCTTCAGTTGGTTTCGTGATCAACATTGAATCTGAGGTCCATCGCGACTCTCACAATTCCCTAGAGTCAATGAATGTGGTTTGGAATGTTGGGCAGGGCTCAGGTTCCCTTGAGATCTGTGGCCATGAGATGCCTCTTCCGCCTAACGCCTGGCTTAGCTTCCCCCCGCGTGATCTCCATAAGTCTGGAAGCTGGGAAGGGGACAAAATCCTGGTTTTGGGTTACACCCCTAGATCTCTTGAAAGGCTAACTTCTTCGGATCTTCTAAGCTTGAGATGGGTGAATATGCCAATCCAGGACATTGAACCTCTGCAAGCACCCCCTGCCAGTGGAGAATTCTCTCCCGGGGACGGTTTGTCAAAGTTGCTTCCAGCTGAGTGCGATTCTGGTGACGAGGAGGTAGACTTGCCAACAGAGGAGTCTTGGAGCCAGGTAGCTCAAGGATATGAGCTAATGCACCAAGCAGTGACTCACTTTCTTAAGTCACTGCAGCGATCTGTTGTGGGCGCTTCATCCGAAGGCCCAGTTGATCCCATCACCTTGCAGGCGATGCGCGAAGCGTCCTCCCTTCGCAATGAGCTGGGCTGGCATCTGGAACTTGCGCGCCTTTATGGCTGCGATAAACCTGTTAGCTCCTCCTCTTGGAGGGTGTGTGCCGCTGCCCCTGCAGTTGAACATCTTGAGTCTCAGCCCTTGCTGCATACCCGTATTGTCTCGAATGAGGAAGTCCGTGAAAAACTGCATGAATGGCGTGATGCCATGAAAGCAGAATGTGATTCCCTGATTTCGAAGGGTGCGGTCGAGCTTGTGGCAGATAGTCAAGTTGAAAAATGGATTTTAGATGGTGAAGATGTAGAGATCCTCCCCGGCCGGGGTGTTGCCACTGAAAAGCCCCCAGTAACTCCCGGATCCACTAAAAGGAATAAGTATAGAGCTGTAATTTGCGGCAATTTCCAAAAGTGGTCTGAGGAAAGGGCGGCAGAGTCCTTCTATGCCGGAGGAGCGGATTCTCTTTCGATCCGCACTGCTTTGAGATGGGCGGGAATGAGAAAACATGGCGGTTCAGGTACTGATGTCAAGACTGCCTTTCTTAATGCTCCCCTTGATGAGCAGGAGGCAGAATATCTGATCTGCAATCCACCTAAGGTTTTGTATGCCGCTGGTGTTATCCCTCGGGGTTACAAGTGGAGAGTCCATGGTGCTCTCTACGGACTCCAGACCTCGCCCCGTGCTTGGTCCCGCCTCCGGGATAAAACTTGCAGAGTCCTGACCTGGACTGTCGATGGCGAGAACCGCCACTTGCAACAGTGTGTTGCCGACCCCAACATTTGGCTTGTCAAGTCCCCTTGCGGTGAGACTGTTGCCTTGATGTGTTGGTATGTCGATGACCTCCTAGTGTTGGGACCTTGGTCAGAGCGATCTGCTCTTCTTGAGAAAATCAAGGCCACCTGGGAGTGCAGCGCATTCACGCATACCGAAGACGGCCCAGTTGAGTATTGCGGCCTTGAGATTTCGGAGTCTGCTGATGGTCTTCTGATTGGGCAGACTAAGTATATCAAGGAACTCTTGAAGAGGCACAACGTGCAGGGGAGTGCAAAGTCTCCATGTGCCGCTTGGTCAGCCAACTTCGATGATGGCGAAAGCCGTGATGATCCCGTTGATCCGGTAGCGGTTAAGGCCGCTCAAAGCATCACTGGTGAGCTACTGTGGCTTTCAGTTCGAGCGCGCCCCGAGCTGTCTTTTCCAGTCAGCCGCATGGCACAGTTGACTACCAAGAGGCCGAATGATGCAATAAGCATTGGACAGGGAGTGTTGCGTTTCTTGAATTCTTCACCCTCCCAGTGCATTGTGTACGGCCCTCCTCCTGGTGACTGCGGGACCTCTCAACAGTATCCGAGGCCAGTCGTTGAAACGACTTTGCATGCTTTTGCAGACGCCTCTTTTGGGCCAAGTTCAGGCAGATCCCATCAGGGTTTGCTGGTGTGCTGGGCTGGAGCGCCGCTCCACTGGGAATCTGGCCGCCAGACGTTGACTGCTCTGTCAACTGCCGAGAGTGAGCTGATCAGCTATGTCTGTGTTGTGCAAGCAGCTGAAGATGCTGAAGCTGTTGAGGCTTTGATTGGGGAGATCTTTCCAGAACCCCTTACTCGATCCCTCTTCGGAGATAACTCTTCAGCCATAAGCATTGTAAGCGGCCCCCCAACTTCCTGGAGATCCCGCCACTTAAGACTTAGGTCTCATGCCCTACCTGAAAGGATCGAAAATGGTGTTTGGACGGTTTACCACTTAAGCGGCTTACTGATGCCCGCCGATATCCTTACTAAGGCGATGACAGCTTCAAAGTTCGGCGACATGTTGCCGTTTCTAGGGGTTAAGAATCCGTCTGAGGATTATCGGTTGCAGCTCGCAGCCGTGCTGGCATGCTGTGCCCTTCTCTTGAAGGGACAAGGCTCTCCTGAGCCTGAAGGTTGGGGTTGGGTTATAATGTACCTTGTGGTTGTAATCTTAGCCTACGAGGGTTTTCGGTCCTTCCTTAGGAGGTTCTTAGGCTTAGTTGCGTATGTATTCCCAGGCCTCGGTGCTCGATTTCCCGGGGTTCTGGATGTGCATTCCTCGCCCGTTCAAGGGACCACGCAGCCGCCTGCCGCAAGTGCCCCACCTTCCTCTTCCACGCAGTTGCCAGCTCCTGGCGCTCGACTTCCCAGGGATCCGTCCTCCTCCATCGGTGCTCGACTTCCCGGTGGAGCCGCATCACCTGCTAGATCCACTCCGAATCTCCGATCCATCGGAGTGAATACCAATCCTGAGGACTACGCTCCTCTTCCTCCTGTTCTTCCAGCTGCCCCTGCAGCTGCTTATCGTCATCCAATTGACCTGGTGAGCCATTCCACTTCCAGCGGCTCCCATTGGCATCAAAATCCCGAGTGCTACCATCTCCGAAATCGGGATCATTCCTCACTGCTTCCGTGCAGTGATTGTGTGGTTGGCCGTACGGTCTTCCATACTAACCTCCCCACTGGACTTCGACGCCGCAGGGGAAGGTGAATGAGGGACGTCAAGGCAATTGTTGCCTTGCAGGCTACCATAGCCTCCGAGCACCAACTCGTTAAACTGCTTCGCTGCCTGTCGGCCTGGACTTTTGCAGCGGCCTGTAAGTGTCGCTTTCTTTCTTATGGCTGGACTTAGCCTTCCTTCGGGGCTAGTCAGGCCCTCGACTTCTTTCTTCCCTCCTCGCCATGCCACCATCCGTCCTTTCCCTTGTGGATTTTTGAGGCGGCGCCGCGGGGTATAAGGGGCTTTTAATCTCGATACTTTCGGATTCTTGTATCCTTTGTTGTACCACGAAAAGGCCTTGAGCTCTATAAGGCTACGAACCCTGAATGGGCTTACACCTCAAATGAGGTGGAACCCACGGGGCTTCGCAATCTGCGAAGGGGGGAGTGTTGGAGATTCAGCATGAGCCCCTGCGCATGATGACACGCACATGCAGGCCTTTTTTGCTCAGCGTATATAAAGTTGTTGCGTGCTTTCGGGGTGTTAGTCCAGGGTCGAGCCTAGGGTCCCAAGCGTAGGAACCAAAGGTTCCTCTAAAGGCCCTTCCCCGGTAGATCCTCGAAAAGAATTACTATTACTATTACTATTACTATTACTATTACTATTACTATTACTATTACTATTACTATTGCTATTGCTATTGCTATTACTATTACTATTACTATTACTATTACTATTACTATTACTATTACTATTACTATTACTATTACTATTACTATTACTACTACTATTACTATTACTACTACTACTACGACGACTACTACGACGACGACTACTACTGCTACGACTACTACATCTACTACTACTACTACTACTACTACTACTACTACTACTACTACTACTACTACTACTACTACTACTACTACTACTACTACTACTACTGATGGCTACACAACACAGAAGATGTTGAACATTCTTCGATGCTGCTGGTCAATGATCGTGCCAAACATCCACGTTCTGAGGTGTATGCCCTCACCGAGTAAACGGCCTTGCATAAGAGTGGGAAGCCACTACATGGCTCATCCTGATCTCCGGAGCGTTCAGCAACGTAGCAGTTGCTCCATATGGAGTCGGTACACCTATGCCCGGAGAACACGCTAGCTGATTGCCCGCCTACAATCTTACTCACACGCCGCCCCAGAAACGTCGGATGAAGCAGGACATCCTGTGCTTTCAGTCCGAGTCTGGATACCTGCGGCTCCAGAGGAGAGGCGGAGACCTCCAGGGTAAGCGCGGCGGAAGCCGCACATTGCCGCTCGATCCGAGCCAACGCAGGGGTCTTGTATGCAAAGCTTGCGGTTTTGAGGTGTAGCGACGAGGATGATTAGCGCTCTTCGCGTCGACGAGCCTTGCAGGTACTGAGGTCAAGCCTTCTTTTCGTCAAGGGTTTGCGAGGCAATGCAGTCGAAAGCTTGCTTGTGCCTTGTGCCCTTTGAATTGGAAGTATCTGCTAGAAGGGGACCGCTTGCTGATAATTACAATCAAACCTCTGTGTTCCTATATATCCCTGGTCGAAACGGCCAAACAGCAGCCACAGCCAAGGTTTTCGGTTTCAAGGGGCAGCGCCTTCGAAGACCAGGAGCTGGTCCTCTTCGGACAGGCTGTAGGGATGTTCCTTACCATTGAGGCAGATGGCAGCATAGGCGCGAGCGTGTCGCGCAGATCGCTGCTCTGCGAGTGGCTGACCTCCGGATCCGAAGAGCAGCGATCCGAGGCTCTCGAGGCCCCCGAGGCGGAGGCGGCCACGGAGGGCCTCCGGAATCGGCTTCCGAAGAGCGAGGCCGCCGAAGCCGAGCCGGAGTCGGCAAAACCCGAGGAGAAGGCCCCGGTGCCCGGGGAGCCGACGGTCTTTGAAGATGCTGGTGGACTCAATGAGTCCCTGGAGCCGGAAGCCTTTTGGGCAAAGGAACTTCAGAATGCACCAATCTTTGAACTCAACTTCCCACCGCTGCACCCCTTGGATGCGTACTTGACGCGCGAAGTGGGCAGAGCACATCGGGTTCTTTCCGGACAGTTTGTCCCAGAAGTTGTGCTCGCCGCATGGGTCCTTTTACTCTGCCGGTATTCTCGCGCGGAGGAGGTGTTGCTTCTGGTCTCCCAGGGGAGTCCTGTGGCTTTGCGGCTGGCGAGCTTGGAGCAGTTGTCACTGCAGCAAGCCGCAGACGCATACCGCAATCGTTTGGCAGATGCCAGGTCCTGTTGGGCAGATGTTCCCTCAGATATTCTGAAGTGTCGCGTGGGCTTTCTCTTCGGGCCAGCTGCGACTGATCTCGACTGGACAGCACCTTGTGGCCAAGGCCGGCTGATGTTGCAGCTGCAGTGCGAGCTACAAGCCGAAGGCCTTACTTGTACTCTTGTCTTTGAGCAAGGATTGCTGAGCACGGCAAGTGCCACGCGGGCCCTGGAGCACTTGGAAGCACTGCTCTCCGCGGAGCTCAGTTTGCCAGCCGGATCGTTGGAGGTCTGCAATGAAACAGAGCAGTGGATGTTGCTGGATTGGAGTGACCAAAGATCAGAGAGATACCTGGATTCTGGCAAATGCATCCATCACTTCTTCCAAGAGCAGGCCTCTACTGCGCCCAGTCGAACGGCAATTATCGAAGACTCCGAGTCTTTGACCTATGCCCAGCTAGCTGCGGAAGCAGGGCAGGTGGCTTCAGAGCTTCTGTCTGCCGACGTCACTACAGACAGTTTGGTGCCCCTGATGTCTCATCGCTGTACAGAGATGGTCATTGCGATCTTTGGCATCCTCTTTGCTGGCGGCGGGTATGTTCCCTTGGACACCAAGTGGCCAGACGACCGTGTGATGGAGGTGATCTCGCAATGTGCTCCCCGTGCTGTTTGCGCCGGCCCAGGCTTCGCAGTTCGCCTGCAGTCCCTCGTAAAGGAGTTGAGCACCTGCAGTATCTTGGACATTAAGCGGAGACAATCTAAGTCTCTCAGCGTCTCAGTGCCTATGCGAGTCGGCTCCGAACCCAACAGCACCAATGCGGTGTACTGCTTTTTCACCTCGGGATCTTCAGGCAAGCCCAAGGGTGTTGTGGTGGAGCACCGTGGCCTGGTGCACCGCATTCTTTGGTTTCAGGACCGCTGGCAAATGCAGCCGGGCGAGTGTGGAATCCTGAAGCACAGCAGCTTGCTCGGAGAGTCGGGGTTTTCCTGTCAAAGACATGTGACATGAATCCAGGCAAGAATCTTAGGGAACAAGATTATGTCCAATCTGAAAGAGCTGATGGAGCAGCCTAGCCTAGATAGTATAGTATCTTATATCATTGTTTCAACCATAATATATATATATATATATATATGTATATTTAGTATATTATACTCTATTATACTTATACATACATAATTTAACTCGAAACGATCGTTCAGGCTACACCTTCGGCTTATCCGAGTGGGAGATCTTCTGGCCACTGTCCGTGGGTGGTACGCTTGTCCTCTGCCGTCCGGACGGGGAAAAAGACATGGAGACCCTTGGATGCCTTATTATTATTATTATCATTACAAACAAATAAATAAATACATAAGTAAGTATATATATATATATATATATATATATACATAGAGTATAACACAATAATATGTATGTATGTATGTATATATATATATATATATATGTGTGTGTGTATATATATATATACACACATTTTGTTGAATGATTATTGAGGGGCCCCTATAATCAGGATCCAACTCTTCAATTTTGGATGTGGGTTCGGGTCCCTTGAATCCCAGCCCCAGAAAGTCGCAGGTTGAGAGGCACACCTACGTAGGAAGCCCACATGAAGGTATCGGCATGGAACTCTAGCTGCTCTGGCTCAGTTCTCTCTGCACCCTCTTCCCAGCTCGTTGCCTTCAAGCCTGCTTCAGCTTGGCGCACTCTTGCGCCAAGCGACATGAGAAGATAAATTCCACTCCTTCATGAGACGAGACGATGACAAACAGCTTTAACATCAACAGTCTTCGTGGAGATGCTTTCAGGCTGAAGGTAATTTCGGACTGCACAGCTGGCTTTGTAGAATCTCGCCTTCCAGGTATTTGTGGCAGCTCTCTGAGCAATACCGCGTACGGACCCAGGCTTGCTTGGTGGGTTCAAGTGGAGGTTTTCACAGATGACTCACATTGCCGGATTGAGAGGAAAGCCTCGCGGCCAAGCCCAGACCGAGCTAGCAGTGGAAGATTACCGACATGCCCAGACTGCCATCCGACTCTGCGTTCGTAATCTTGCATGCATAGACGAGGTTTCCTGATGGAGACGCTTAGAAATAACCGCTACTGTATGTCCGGTGAGTCCAAGCCCGGACTAGGCCGGTCCAACCTTGCAATGCCCGAAAGACTGCTCGGGCAGCAATGGGCCCTGTTAACTGGTAACCTGGTGACCCTACATACACTGAAACTTTTCTGCGAGTCGCAGGTCTTCGTGCCCTCTGTCCTCAGGGCATTGCTGGAGTACGCAGAGCTTGAGTTCGAAGATCAGCAGGCATCGGCGGGACCGGCTGGCCACAGTCTTGACCGCAATAAACGCCGACCGTTGCCGGCTTCGGAGTAGCTCTGGGATCCTAAATTCTGAGTACCACCTGCCAGGTAAAGCTTTGGCCGGACCTGAAGGCAGCCATCACCTGCGGCGAGGCGAAGCCTTTGACTACGGGTCTCGTACAAGTGTACGGATAAAGGAAGGAGGCTTGGGAGGGTCTAGAGCAGATGTAGCCTTGAGGTGGTATGATCAGCATGATTTCCGAGTTGCATCTGTAACCAAGGTAGGATCTGAAAGTGTCTCTTCCTCGCAATTCAAATCGGAAGCCTCGTCAAGGCTTTGCCGCCAAGCCTCGCGCAGCAGTTCTTCGACTTCCTGCCGCATGCCACACTGGACAACCTCTACGGTCCTACCGAAGGTACTGTGGCAAGAACTTATTTCGTGCATGGGACATCCGTCTTGTGTTTATTTTGCTCTTGCAAAACTCCGTTTCCTACGGTAAGCCTCTGGCCTTGGCGAGGCGAAATGACCGTTTGGCGCCTTCCCATGGGCCGCATCTTGCAGCTCTGCTGGCAAAGCGGATGGGACACACTTTTAGCGCCCAGAGAAGGGTTTTGCAGCAACACCGTGTTGTGATTTGTCATTGCCCCGGCCATCTCCGGGCAGGCAAAGCATGCCGATCGGAGAGCCTATGGAGGGCTCCAGAATCCTGATTTGCAGCTCTGGCGGTCTGGCGGGTGTAGGGGAGCCCGGCGAGATCTACTTCGGGGGAGACTTCATTGCACGGGGCTACCTGGGCATGCCGGAGCTCACGGAGGAGAAGTTCGTCCTCGATCGTTTTCTGGGTGCCGAGGGCACGAAGCTTTATGCTTCGGGCGACCTAGCCAGGCCAGGCCGAGAGTGGGAAGGAATCCTAAGTTTTCGGGGAGCAGGGTTCGACTAGAAGAGACCGCACATGGAACCGGACCCGTCATGCAAGCGAGGGGCCATGATAACAGAGATTGGAGGTGGAGAGAGTCTGGCATTCTGGACTTCCTTGGCCGGGCTGACTTCCAAGTGAAACTGCGGGGCTTCCGCATCGAGCTGGGGGAGATCGAGGACGTGGTGTTGTGGGCCTTCGAGCCTGTGAAGTTTCTACACGAACTGGTTGAGATGTCTATTCATTGGAGCGAGCACGAGAGAAAGACAGAGAGAGAGGAAGACCGTGCTGAAGAACAGCTCGTGTGCGTGTGTGTTTGTCGTGTTATGCATGCCATCAGGAGGCACTGCGCGCGGCAGGCGCCAAGAATTCCGTGTGCATCGTGGTCGGGTGCCTAGGCTTGAAACCTCCGATTCTGTGACGGTCTGATGAGCTGATAGCTTGTCCAGCTCTTACCTTGAAGATTTTGCTGCAGCTGTGAATGCAGACCCCCTCCTTTTCATGGTCATGCCCGCGTGCATGCAATTGCCGCGTCGTAAGCAAACACATAGATAGTTACTGGCGGCCCAGCGCCTCTGAAGTGCTGCTCGGGGAGATGGGGGTGGGGGTTGGACGGTTGGGTTGGGTGTTGTATGGCATCGCAGCTTTTTCTATTGCTCCAGATTTGCTCAAGTTTTCGTCCTTCGGATCTCGGACTTCGGTACTTTAGTTTTCGGTGCTTCTGCGCATTGCGGTATTGCGGACCCCCCGACAAAGTGGCTGAGTCGGAATGTTCCCCAATTTAATAAATTCAATTTCAGATAAACACGAACTCCAGACCAGGCAATAGACACGCGCATGACCGGTTATGTTAGCATGTACGCATATCAGCGCGTTGGTGCACACCCATGTGCACAATTACAATTCCCAGACAGATGGATGCTCCTCATGCCCATCGTGTCTTGTCTCAGCGCTTTATGTATGCACTTGTCATTCGTATTTTCTTTATATCCCAACCAATTCCAAGCGCAAGCTTCCTCTGCTTTACCGTTTTGTACACATGTCACAAGTTATACATGTATGTACCGCACATATAAACGTACATGTTATCCCCTCATCCGTTTAATGACCCCCCCTCCAATATAAAGAATTGCTTTGGGCCTTTGATTTCTTATGCTAGGGAGATTTCGGGTGGTTTAGGGCTTGATAATCCGCAGGCAAGGGACGGCTTCCACGAAAAGCACGCGATCCGGAATTTTACTCGTACTTGTAGGAACTCCGAGGCTAGGGCGGTACTGTAATTTGTCTCGAATCCGGAAATCCCAGGCTAGGCAGCGGGGTGCGTATTGGCAGCGGTCATTCGCACCACTCTGCGAGCTTGGGAGTTACGGATTCGACACAGCAATGTACTCCTCTCAGCCTGCGACTACCAGTACACACCCCGCTGCCTAGCCTGGGAGTTCCGCATTCCAGAGCGCTTACTGACTGATTTACTGGCCTCAGCCTGCGAATAGACCAGCGCGTTCCAATGCTCCACGCTGGCCGTTCCAATTCTCCATGCGACCCTAGCCTGGGAATTCCGAATTCTCGACGGCTAAACCCTGAAATTCGCACATCCGGACTCCTGGGACGCCGCGTTCCTACTCTAAATGCCGGCCGCGATCCTAGCCTGGTAGTTCCAAATCTGTGACGGCCATCCTACCTGACCCCTAAATCTAATGCAACCATGTTTGAACCTTTTGCTCGAAACCGGAAATTTGTTCGGCCAGAGAAGTCTTTAAAGTAGGGGGATTTATTACACGGATGAAGGGGTTATATATATATATATATATATATGCAGAGAGAGAGGTTACTTACTACGTAGCTATGATCGTTGCCGTCATCGTAGAAACACCGACCAGTCTCTATAAGCACTGCAGGTGAGATGTAGCCACGAATCACCCCACAACACTATAAACATACATGATCAACCGGGGGAGAACAGCCACACCATTCTCACACTCCTCAAAATATGGGGGGCCCTAGTGCCCGAGGGGTCTCAACAGCCCCTCATGCCCGGCGGAAGAAGACACAGAGAGTGGGGCCGAGAATTTGAGAATTGCTATGATGTCCAGGCAGGGGACACAGCAGCGGCTGGTGGCCTACGTGATTATGCCTGGAGGTGATCAAGCGACTCTGCGCGCTGCGTGCACCAGCCGTTTGCCTGCCTACATGGTGCCAGCACAGGCCCAGCTGCGCAGGGTGTTAGTTCCAATTTCCTGCATGTCACACGACATGACATCATGAGACGTGGGAAAGTCTGTGGAGAGGTGGTCTTCTTGGAAGCCATGCCGCGGACAGCCAGTGGCAAAATTGACCGCAAGGCACTGCCGGCACCACCGGAGCCACAAGGAGAGAGCGAGGAGGCTGTGCTTGTGGTGGAGCCGCGAGACTCCCTGGAAGAGCGCATCCGCGAGATCTGGGCCAAGGTGTTGGACCGTGCACCTGAGAGCTTCTGGGCTCCACTTATAGGCTTACAAATGTATAAGTATTTCAAGACAGTTTAGCGAAAGAGCCTAGGCCTCAGCGTGGAGGCAGATTGGCCCCTGGTGGGTGGCAATTCCCTCTTGGCAGGGAAAGCAACTTCTCTCTTGCGCAAAGAGCTGGGCGTGCAGCTCCCAGGGACGGCCATGCAAAGTGACGGCAACGAGTGTAAACAACGTTTTAGTCCTGCGTAATGGAGAACTCCTATGTGTTATACTAGCAGCATTGACACGGGAAGAAGGTATTTGATTTGGTGATTGTCACGCATGTTTATATCGCCGTAAGGTACACCAACAGCACCATTGCCAAGCTGGCTCTTTTGGCGTCGAAGCTCGGAGCTACAGTTTCAGGTGACGAGCCCAAGCCTGTGGAGACGAACCAGGCGCCGAATCACTATGGTGGATTCAGATAACTACCGGTTTGTTTTTTTGTTGAGGCGCCCCCTGATTTTCAGATGTGGTCCTTTCATGCCATGGAGCCCGCTTGTCCGTGAGAATATGTAGTTTCTTGCATGCAGGACGACCGCATGTTGACGCAAGATCCGTATAGAAGAAGCATAACACATGTTCACTTGTACATTTACTTATGTACAGATTTTTGTATACATTTATAGTTGTATAACTTATACATATATATATATATATGTATATATAGATAGACATATCATATGCATTTTCTTTACATACATACATACATACAGACAGACAGACAGACAGACATACACACACTTGTCATAACAATGCAGTGGTGTACGTAATTCGAACAAACGCAGAAATTAGTGTTTATTTCTATATATATATATATATATATATTGACTACGTCAAGTAACTGACTAGTTGTCTGTGCGTGTGTACAAATTCCTCACTTAGCCTGTCTAGATATTGCATTTGCTTCTTGGCGTTTGCTGTAAACGTGTTCTGCCAAGAATGCCGCGCAGCGCAAACACAATGTTTGCATTTGGATTGTCTGTGCAACGGATGTTGTGGACCTCCAGGTTTGAACAAGCCGAATATGTACTGCGCGATGCCCTGCGCGGCGTGAGGATTTGATGTGACATCCTTATGCCACACAATAAGATGCCACTCCATTACAATTTTCATGCAGTTTTCACATACGACACATGCCGGCGTATACATGCAATGGTGCGCACGTGCATTCATAGGCTGTCTATGTTCATGCACGCCCGTCTCTTTGGGTTCTTGCCTTGGCTGTGACCTCTGGGAAGCCCGCAGGAGGCTGTGCCCGGCAAGCAGCGCTACCAGGCCCAAAGTGCCAGGACCGGTACTACGCTGGAGGTTTACTCGGAGCGATTATAAGTGGGCTTGGACTGTTTGGGATTCCGGATTCAACATGCCCACTTGCATTCCCGATTGTAGCTGAGCGGCGGGACGTACTGCACTTCTGACTGCCTGTGAAGCTTACAGTAGGAGTTGCCTATGAGCCTCTGCTCCTGGCATGGTCACAAGACACACACACACACACACACACACACACACACAAGCACCCGCAAGAGACACGAGTCCTCGACCAGTCAGAGCCCTTCACCCCGATGGTCGGGTTCCACTTAGCTTTGCCTGCTGTCCACTGCACGGCCCATTTTTGTCCACAGCACTTCCACAGCCCTTCCCTCTGCCTGAAGTCTGGTAATTAGTGACATAGAACAGCATTGAGAATCAAATGTTGTTTCGGTTTGAGGATTTCTCTCTTGACAAGCTCTATCTCACAACTACTCGAAGCTTCTTCGGTGTAATGTTCCCGTCTTCGGAGTTTTTGTTCGACATCGCGTGATACCGCCTGCTTCAGATGCTTCAGGGGATCGATCATGTGCTGCAGCGAATCTGTCAAGACAGGGATGCACCCTCCCCCCCCCCCCACTCCCCTTGAGGAGCCCTTCAGCCCTGTGCGCTCAGTTCCTAGTGGCCGTCGCAGGGAACCTGCAGCTGGGATTTTAGTGCAAGGGCGGTTGGCTTGTCGGGTGTGGGTCTGGAAGTTAAATCGGATTGAAGCTTGGAGAGTGTGAGCCTCGAAAAAATGGGTTGCTGGGTTGCTGAGTTCTTGAAGTTGCTGCTTGTAGAAGGAGCCTTAACGTTAGATTGTGCTGAGAGAGGACTGCGTACTGTAGCTAGCAGTAGGATCATTGTGCCAAACGGCTACAATCATTTACAGGTTCAGAGCTGGTGGGTTCCATTGGATCCACATCTTCGAAGGGGTCCGACAGGTGACCTTCGCAGTCGTCCGGAATAGCTATGTAAGCTGAGGCGCCTTTGTCTTTGCAACCCCAAAAAGGCAACCTCGCCGAACTCAAAGAAGCGTTTACATGCTTGAAAAAGGCACGCGAGCCTCACATCAATGCAGGAATCTCCCACGCCGCACGCCCATATGGATGCAGCAGGCTTGGTGACAATTTCGCTTGGATGATCCGTTGGCTGCTGGCCTGGGTGGTCTACCAGGCAATATGCTGTCGGCTACCTCAGTTCAGGCGAATTTCTTGAGGAAAAGATTCAGCATTCGGAAATCCGGTTTCCACTCGTGAAGCTTGCAAAAGCTTCGCCATCATAGGGCTTTGGCGAGAGGCCTGTTTTCAGAAGCCCACACGCATCACTTTCTAGTATACAGTAACACAGTATGCACCAGACAGTATGTAATACGTGAGATCTAAGAGTATAACTTTTCGTTTGCGATAAAACATTAGTCTCGCAGAAAATGGAATATTTCTTGTCGCATGGCAGTTCGAGACGAGGCCTACGGTCGAAGCTGTCTGATTCTTTGTCTTCCTGGGCTGCTGGCTGCGCTTCTCGTGTTGGAGGACTGGAATTAAGATGCCGAGGGAGGGCAGGAAGCCAGAGGGGCGATGGGGTTGCATGCATGTGTTGGGAACTGTATATACAATATCATATGCCAGTGCTAAGAATATAGGTAGATCATATGTGCGATTATATATCCGTTATGATATGACCCATGCCATGCAAACTATTCGCAGCTGCGTGCTCTCAACTCTCGCAAGGGAGGCAGACTCGATGGCTCATCTCTTCGGCATCAGCTGCACCAGCCCCCTACTGTCTACCTGTGCGTTGGGCGAGTCATTCTGACGGACTGTCTTCACTGTCATACGAGACCTTACTGTAGCTACAGCTCATCCCTAGCGAGCCGCCAAGCCTTCAGCCCTTCAAGCCCATTCCGAAATCGGGAGGCCGCGGTGTGCATTGCCTTGAAGCAGCTGATCGTTGGGCGTTTGGAACCTGGGAGGTATCCTTTGTTCGGGAGCCTTGAAGGCAACACTGTCTGGAAGCCTTTGCCTTTGCTACTTCAGCTATGATTTCCAGGTTTAACTCTCATGCGGAAAACCGGAAAGCAAGAAGAGTACTTTCTGGCAGGCTTCAGAGCCCTGTAGCTGCTTCGAGGAAGACATATTTCCTGTGGCTCTTCCAGCGGCACTTAGTGGAGAAGTGCCGCGACCGGATCTCTGAGTTCATTTCTGGGACGCCGCCCGACTGCTTTGCAAGAGAGGCTAAGGGTTTAGGGAGAGAAAGTTGTAGTGTTCAGTTGTCGCGGAGACGGAGGACTCTCCCTCTCTCTCTCTCTCTCTCTCTCTCTCTCTGTCTCTCTCTATATATATATATATATATATATGTATGTCTCTCTCTCTCCCTCTCTATTTCTCTCTATCTCTCGCTGTCTCAGTCTCTCAGAGAGCAAAACCGAGCCATATTCAGGTGCCTCTTGGTCCACTTCTACCGGGCACTGGGCGCCGACATCGGGGAGAGAGTGGCCCGAAGTGTTGAGATAGCAGACTTTTAAGGCCTTAGGCGTGTTAAACCCGCTACTGCTATTTTCTTGAATCAATTGGTGGCGGGGCTTTTAATTTGTCAGATTGAGTTGTCAGATTGAGCTTTTCATCTCAGAGTGCAATGCAGACAAACTCCCCACTGAACTGTCAAACCTCGACATACACCCTCAACCCAAAACCTTGCCCTATGCAAGAGTCCACAGGGTGATGTTCGTCGTGAATGGGCAGGTCGACCTGAACGATCCAGAGCTGGAGGAGCCCGACTTGGTTTCTATCGGGAGCGATGTGTCTGTCAACCATGCCCGCATCTGTGCAGCAGGTCGGCCAATAATAGAGAGGGATCGAGAGAGAGAGAGAGAGAGAGGCCGGCAAACCAGAGACAGCGAGCCAGCGAGCAGCGGGAAGGGAGATAGAGGGACAGCTATGTCTGTCTGTTCTTTTTTTGCATATCTCGACGTAGGGCCTGGGGGTTTTCAATGCCGCGACTTCCAGCAGGCCTCATGGATGGCGAGCTCATCCTCGGGGCTGTGAAGGTCCAGTCCAGGTCGTGCGTAATGCCCCGGGCGATGCTGGTCATGGGCACAGATGCCGCTCGGAGATGTTTTGTCCACAAGATGGGAATATCGGTCTTTCGTCGTGCAGGGACAGGCGACCAGTTTCGTGCTGAAGCCTCCGCAAAAACACGATGCGAGTCTTGCTGACATCTTTCAGCTCGTTGAAAGCGTGTGTCAGCCCGGAGTTTGACATGTCCCTCTGGTGTCCTCTGAATCTCATGAACGCCGGGTCGGGTAAACTCGCACCTTGAAAGCTCAGGTGCCCAGCGGTTCCGAAGTGTCTCCGTTGGCCTCGACCTCTGGATGGATGGGTGCCGTGGGAGCTGTCTGCCCCTTGCAATCCTCGAAAATAGAACGTGTGACGACGCAGGACGTACCGGCGCAAAGGATTCAGGGATTTTTAGGGTTTCAGGGGTCGGGTCAGGGCGGAGAGGTTTACTTCGTTGTTCAAAACGATGGCTTCAAGGGCTCCTAGGGGAAGTGTTTTCAGGCTGAGTGGAAAGCAACTGTCGGGCCCATTCTCACGCAGGCTGTTTTAGAACTACAACGATGCAAGGTCTATGCAAGTCCCGTCCTTCGTGTGCCTCAGTTGGGTTACTCTCAATCCATTGACGTTTCAATCGAGAGTAACAACATTGTCCAGTGCAAATTCCAACCTGCAGCGCGGCTGAAGGCCTGGGCATCTTCGGGTCTGTTGAGGATTACGTACCAGCATTTGGATTTCAGGGGGATTCTCTTCATGACAGTGGGGAGGTTCGCACATGAAGCAGCGCCACTCTACAGCATTGGGACATCATCATGCACGAAGCGGATGCCGCATGCAGACGCCGCAAACTTGAGATATTTCAGATGTGTTTGCATGCCATTCTGCAAGGACTATCTCCGCCTTGCTGTGGGGCTGCCATGGCTCCTCTTCCTGCACAGTGCAGCGATCATCCCCACGATCTATGCCCTTGAGATGTTGTGGGCGGTCACTGGCACCTTGGCAATATTCTGTCAGTTTTGTATTGTTTGCACTCCGTGGCTTACCGTCGTCAGGTCTCTGAGTAGAATCGGTGCTTGCTTCAACTGAAAACCGCAACCTTGCTTCAAGCCACGACCTGCCGGAAGAAAGGCGGGAACTGGATCTTTTGGCTGTTATCACCTCTGGTGTACCGGCACGGTTTCGCATTGACTTTCTTCCTTCTGACCGTGCTTCAGAAGCGTGCGCTGGTTGGGCGCCTGCTTCCGGGACCTACGCCCGAGGAAGGTTCCCAGTCTCAGGGGTCTGAAGTTCCAAGAAGGGTACCTTTTTGTAGGGTGAGAGTGTGTATATAATATACATATATATATATATATATATTTTTTTTTTTTTTTGTGAGGCTCCTGGGCCTGGCACAAGGAGGCCTTCCGGACCTGGCTGCACGAACAGGCGGTTTGTGCCCGGAGCTTCGACGACGCCATGGATCCTTTCGTAGGCACGGAAGTGCTGAGCATCATGTACAGAATGTTGGGATCCAAGATTGGGCGGCGCGTGCAAATGGACACCGTCTATGTAGCGGAGCACGACTGCTTCACCGTCGAAGATGACGTGGTTTTCGGATCCGTGGTTTCAGCACACTGTGCCGGGGCAGCTGGACGCCAAGAAGTCAAGCTCCTCCGTGGCGCCAACGTGCTGGATCATGGGGTCCTGATGCCCGGGACCTTCGTTGGGGAGCGCGCGGTCTTGGGATCTGCTTCGCTTGCTCCGGCAGACTCCTACTTTCCACCGGATAGCATCAACACCGGCCAGGTCGGTGGCAAACCTGTCCGCTTGCGATTCCAGACCTCTACAGAGGAGCAAGTGGTCACAGAGTGGGAAGCAATGCGTAGATTGAACTCGGATGAGTTTTTCTGGGGCTTCAATTTCGGGGTAATTGCTGCTGCAATCGTTTGCAGCCCTGTTCCGATCTACCAGTGTTTGCTCACCTGTCTGCTTGGTTGGAAAACTTGGGCATCTTACGGTCCATTCCTTGCTTTCCTGTCGTTCCCCTTTGCTTATGCTTTTATCAGCCTGGTTGTACTATCCATCAACTATATCCTCAAATGGCGCATCATCGGCAAGTACGAGGAGGGTGACTACACATTCTTCAGCAACTATCACCTTAGCTGGACAGTCATGATGATTTTATCAGGTGTCATGGAAGATGCAGTCGATGCACTTCAAGGCACGGAGTTTCTGGTATGGTACTACAGGCTGATGGGTGCCAAAGTGGGGCAGAACTGCTGCTTGTTTGGTCTGGCCTTAGAGTATGACTTGCTAACGATGGGCGATGGGTGCTGCGTAGGCTGGGAGTGCGATACGACGTGTCACACAGTCGAGAACATGGTCATCAAACTGGCACCAACGGTTCTTGAGTCGTACACCTCCATGCTTCCTCACTCGATGGTGCAACGCAGCGGCATAGTCCACATCTTTCAATCGCACTGCGATAGTTGATAATTGGTTCACAAGCAGTACCTCCCATTTCCCCATGGCAGGAATTCGATACATTTTAAACGCTTGGCGAAGGCTGTGCTTGAGGCAGGTGCAGTGGTTCGCAAAACAGCAGCCCGAAAGCCTACCAAGGCCCGTAGGCCTGAAACCCGAAACTCTGCGTGTCTGCGTGTGCGAGTGTGAGCGTCGAAACCCCAAACACTAAAGCTTAAACCTTAAACCCGAAACCCGTCTGGTCACATCACCTTGGAATCTGGTGTTCTTGGTGTTGCGACAAAGAGAGATTCCAAGGAGAGGTTTCGCGGATCGGTACAGTTACTTTAAGTGTTGCTATACTTTGTTGCTGAGACGTAGTGACGAAGCCTCTTAGTGTCGTTTCACTTTGCAGACTCGAACTCATATGCCTCGCCTGGTTTGTCCGAGTGTGAACGCCGAAACCGTCTAGGGAGAAAGCGCAGCCCCTGATGTCGCATGCCATGGCATCGGAGGGTCAGCAATAACCGAAAAGTTGCAGGATGTTGGAAGGGGCAGGGGGTGAAGAGTCGACCGAAGCCCGAGGTCCCCTGGAGCCGTCCTGCACGAGGGTGCCGTTGTTCTGGAGAATAGCCAGGTGCTGAAGGGCGAGCAGGCGCCAAGGGGCCCCCGTCACTCCCCAACCTCCCCCGTCCCCCGGTCCTGTCACGGGATCTCTGTTCCCACACAGGGAAGCGTCTTGGCATGCATGCGCACATGCCGAATTCGGCCTTTACAGACAAATCTCACCAGGTCCCTGCAGATGAGTGTTGGGCTGGCCTGCCGGCGTCATCCTGCCGCGCTCTCTGAGTTGGCAAAAGCATTGCTTAGAAGCTTCGGGCTTCTGGGAAAGCGGTAGTGATGCAGGTGTCATCAGGTGGATTGTCGTTCCAGCTCTATTCGTCTCGTGCAATATTCATTCACTGGCGTTTTGTGAAGCTTGCTCGGCTGTAGTTTCCGGTAAGCAGAATCAATGACTCAGGTGGACCCGTGGGCGCTCTGCCCATCGAGACGGTCCAAGAGGAGGGCCGCCGAGTTCAGGTTCCAGATGGTTCCAGGCTTCAGGCACTCGAGTTCAAGGCCACTCCTGGGTGTAGCTTACTCGAGGTTGCAGCAGTTTGAGCACTAGTGACCGCTAGTGATAGAAAAGGGCAAGCTGCATGAGCGCATGCATCAGCCTCGAAAGCTTCGCGAGAGGATGAGAAAGCCGACGAGATTCAGCAGGAAGCTCAAGGTGAAGCTCCAGCGGAGGTGCAGTCTTTGCCAGAGGGCCTTGAGGCCTTGAGTGACGGTGCCGTTGTGGCGCTGGCGGGGCAGACCTTCCTTGTCGAGAAGTTGAAGACACTTAGCAAGCAAATGAACTGGCTGCATGGCATCATTGTCATTTGGTATAGGGGCTTCTGTAGGGCGTGTTAATCGCAGCCAGACGTGCCCTGGCTTTATGAACCCCCGGGCTAGCCGAAAATCGCATTACATCATTCCAGGTCTGGTGGTAAAGAAATTTGCAAATCATTAAGACGAGATCAACACATGCAGAATTACTACGTGTCATCTTTGTGCAGACCTGCTTGACTTCTTTCGGAACATTATCCGAGAATGCATGTCACGGAGCATAGCAAAATGCAATTTGTGCCTACCTTCAATACTCTGGCCCAATGGTGTTCCAGCCGGTGGAAAAAATTCGCGACGCAAGCTAAGGACGGGGGACATCTTACTCTTCGTGTTCGAAGAGGATGGCAAGTCACTCTCAGGACATTTGCGCGTTCGTGCCACAGGCCGTGCCGACTTCGCAGGAAGACGAGGACTGACCAGGGATGAGGGCGCAGTCACTGTACAGTCGTCAGCCAGCATGCAGCGAGAAGTGCAAAACTAGCAGCACCAATGCACATCAACGCCTCCAGCGCCGCCACGACGACAACGACGACGACTAGTTTGCTCTATACTTTGCTGCTCGTTCTGCTTCGTCGTCGCTTCGTCCTCTTCGTATGTTGCTATTGCAACTGCGCCGGCTCCTTCCGCTGCAACTTCCATGGCGAAGACTGACTAGGAAGTGACTAGGTGCCTACGACGCTTCGGCTGCTGCTGCTGGTGCTCGTGAGAAGTACTACTGCCTCTGCTGCTGCTGCTTCTGCTACTGCTACACAACAACAACAGCAACAACAGCAACAGTAACAGCAACAGCACCAGCTACTACTACTACTACTACTACTACTACTACTACTACTACTACTACTACTACTACTACTACTACTACTACTACTAGTACTACTGCTACTGCTACTGCTACTGCTACTGCTACTGCTACTACTACTACTGCTGCTGCTGCTGCTACTACTGCTACTACTTCTACTCCTGCTGCTGCTGCTGCTCCTCCCACTCCCGCTCCTCCTCCCACTCCGACTCCAACTCCTTCTCCTACTTGCTACTTCCTACTCCTACCCCTCCCACTGCTGCTGCCCCTTCCACTGCTGATACTCCTACTCCTACTCCGCCTTCTCCTGCTACTCCTGCTGCTGCTGTTCCTTCTACTGCTGCTGCTAAAGCTGCTGCTGTGGCTGCTGCTGCCTCTGCGATTCGTACTGCTGCTGCGGCTTCTCCTGCTGTCGGTACTGCTACTAATAATAACCGTAATGAAAAATCGCCATGACAATGGTGGTACATGCAAGCAAACTTTCAACCACAAACAATACTAGTAGGTACTGATGAAGATAGGCATGGGTGTTTCCTACAACTATGTCCTAGACCACCACCAAGAAGGGGAGCAGCAGCAAACGATAGCACCCCCCAACACAGGCCAACGACGACGACAAGCACAACAACAACCATCAGAGCCGCAATCGCAAACACAAAGGCGACCACAGCAGCAACGGCAGCAGCAACGAAGGTACTAGCTACAGTAAACTGCACGAGTCTGTCATGGTCAGAATCAGTGTGGTGGCAAGTAAAGGCTGCTATCGATGTTCAGCATATTTCCAACTTGCCGCGAACCGCCTGGAGCGTACGTTGAGGTGTTGCACTGCCAAAGCTTTGTGTGAACGGAGCGTCCAAATCAGAGAGTTTCGCTTTCTGCTTGCAGGCCCAGCTGCGCGCTTCTTTGCCAGCAAGGGATCCAGCGCTGCGACGGTCTGCCTTCAGACAGTCGGAACTGGTATGTGTTTGCATTTCGACGAAGCATCGCAGCTATTCTTCGGGGACACGAATCCGGGCGATCTGGTAGTGAAGCAAATCTCTCAGGCCAGTACGATCAAGCTTTCCCAGGAGGTCTTGCAGCAGCGGCGACGTCAAGAGGCAAACCTGCTGGTGCAGGAGAGGAGGCGCAAGGCAGCCTATGCACTGCAATCTTCCACTGCTCGAGAGACCTTTAGCCATGGCAGAGCCCAGCGTGGCAGACGCGGACAGTAGTACAGACGAGCGCGCCACGTGCCGGTTGCAATTGATTCATCGCTGAGGCGAAAAAGGTGTGTTTTGGCTTGAATGTCAATGACTGAGGGCAAGACTTGATTCTTGTTTAGGAAGTTGGCCTTTGGACTTCGAAGGGCGGAGCTGTGACGTTGTCGGTCGCGAAGTTGCTTCTTCGGTTATCATTGTGTGACTGGGGTCCCAAATCTTGTCGTGGCTTTCGCAGGTGCTTGCGAGGCCGGCAGCCTTGAAGATGGTTTTGGAACGCTGGAACCTGAGGGAAGCACACGAACGTCTCAGCTCGGAGAAAGTCTCGTCGGGTGCATCTCTTGCCCGAAGATCCCGTCACCTCCCAACCAGAGAGTTGCTGAAGCCTGAATAGCTGGAACCGATTTGAAACAAAAGGTGCAGAGGCGATGCAGATGGTGGGGGCCTAAGCCTAGGCAGTCTGAAGTTTGCGGGGGGAAGGATGCGGAGCTGATTGGCCAGAGACTCAAGCATGCGCTATAGTTAATCTTCTGCTGCTGCAGGCTCTCCTGTTTCGTTCTCTCCTTGTGCAACCTAACTTTGACATTTTACATGGTGGAGTTTTGAAGGAGAAGCGGCAGGCTGGAGAAGCAGCAAGAACGACTCTTAGTGCCTGTGCCTGCGGGGTTGAACCCACTGCTGTGAAAGTAAAAAACTGCTTTCCTGCTACATTCTGTGCGGGGCGGCTCACCATCTTTGTGCTTGCCGATTCCGGGCTCAAGCCACGTACAATCAGCGCAGAGGAGCTGATTCTGATAGACGACGCAGCTTGCATTGCCTAGTTTTACTTGCATCACAGGCCTCGTACTGAAACAGCCTCTTTTGAGACACATAGACAGACAGCTTCCGACGGCCTCGTGATGATGTCGGAGCCAAAACCACCTGTGTCCAGCAAGACTCTGCTGCCATCGGACGTCTTTCAAAATCGCCGAGCGTTCCCTTGGAACCAGGCACAAAGGATCATGGAGACATTCAAGCCGGAGAAGAAAGAAGACTTGCCGCCCATCCCCATCGACGCGGACGACACGTCGACCACGTGGCTATTGCCAGGCGGCTCGAAGATCCAAGTCTTCAACTGATTCGGCAGACGCTCAGTGACTGGTTCTACGATGAATCTGAGAAAGTGCACGAGGACGCCGGTAACGGATTCGACCATGATCAAAAAAGCTCGTGGCAAGTTTGCGTTTCCTTGTGGTGACCTTACTAGTAATAGGTTCCAGTGCATCTACGGGTTACAGACGTATCGCGATATGTCCAGGGACGATTTCGTTGGAAGAGAGTTGCATGGGGTGGCAGTATGTAAGGTTTTCTTCAGCATTTGCTTGCAGTAAAGACCATGCCTATGCTCCGCAGCAGCAGCAGCTTGCACTAAACAAATCAACATGCGAAGCACTGCTTGGACTCATGTCTATGTTCGGAAGTCACGATCGTCACCGGCCATGGGTCTCTCATGCACATGCACTTAGACACCGCAAAGAGCTCTGAGCAACTACGTCTTCGACGAGCCCAACTAGCTTCGGAACAGTCTATGTCTGTGTGTTCGGCTAGCTCTGTTGTAGGGGTTGATCCGAGCTTGTGGCAAGTCTTTCGTCGAGTTTTGCAGACGTTTGCAGAGATTCATCTTGAGTGCTGCCAAGGCATGCTATGGAATAGACCTGGAAGTAATCCAAAACCTGCGAAAATCTTATGCCGAGGATGGAGAATCATGGATGCTCCCAGTCAAGCTCTCGGTGGCCATTCTGGCATTGAACAGGGGTCAGGACATTTGGAGGTGGAAGCGCTTCAGACTCCCTGTAGTGCAGGGCTTTCCTGTGGCAGGATGCCGCGCCCTGTCCCGCTGAACTAGAGCTGTACAAACGACCGGCCTGTACCAAGCCCCTCTCCACCCCCCCCTGATGCAAGAGTTCCTGCCAAGGTCGGGTGCGAAGTGGAAGTCAAGTGGCATCGGCAAGTTCGCATGCTGCGACCGCCGCAGGAGGCTCAGGGATTCAGTGAAGGTATCACCGGGGCCAGATTATGCCAGATCGCTAGGGCGCAGGAGGGCACTGTTGGCCGGATGAGAGCTGAGAACCTTTCCCCGGGCGCGCCGGGCCATTTTCAAACATGGTCTGAACAAAGCTGACGGCTCCATGCTCAAACAGTGCAGTTTGCCGCCGGATGTCAACATTCAACCCCTCTTAGACTCTGACGTTGCAAAACTCTCTTTGTAATCCTTGCAGCCTTCTGCACAAACTTCCATGCTGGCAGTACATGCATGTCCTCGAGCATCCGATTGGCCCAGCAGAGGATGCCCATGCTTTGGGCATCCCTGCCCGAAGACATTCGCAGGGGACAGATCAATCATTCCATTCCACAACCACCCGCCCCAGATCCCGTCAGCGGGCTCAGAGGCGCAGTGAGCGCGAGGAATAGTACTTGATTGGCCCATGAGAACAGACTTTTTCGAAGATATGCAAGAATAAGCTGAGTGTATCCGATGTCATCACGACTTCGACTGCTACTCCTGAACTTCCCTCCCGCTGCTGCCGCTGCTTCTGCTGCTGCTCCTGCCGATCCTCCGGGTGCTGCTGCATGCTGCTGCTATTGTTCTCCACTTACTACTTCTAGTACTACGACCTCGACGAGAGCTTCAATTCCTCCACTGCTACCTCTTTGTTTATGCTCTTCGTGCCTACAGAAAGTTCCTAAGAGCAACGCCAGCAGCAGAAGTAGGTCGCCGTCGCACAAATATAGGGGCCTAAATAATTACCAGTACTATTTTGGGGGTTCCTTAGTATAAACGTAGTCACGAAATCTAGCTCTGTTGAGCTTGCGGGAGTTGTCCTTTAGCAATTCACCTTGTATTAAGGCACTACGGAAAAAAACAGGGTTTGCACCTTATCAGGTGGGACGTCCAAGAGTTAGGGTGGGGGGGAGGGGGTGCCGCCCCCCCCCCCTCACCTCGTTCATGAAGTATCTTCGAAGGATAAGGTGCGGCGCGCCACCCCCCTCCCCATCCCTCCTTGAAGGTTGCGGCGCGTGGGATAAGGTCCTCCCCCCTACCCTCAAGTCTAAGTCTCTCCCCCTCCCCCCCCTCGCAAGGTCCCTCAGTTTGCTTCTGTTTGAAGTCTGTTCCTTGCGCTGCGGCTTGGCTCCAGCTTTTCCGTAGTCGCAGCTGCAGGAACAGTGTCATGTGCAGGTGAATTTCGCAACAAGTGTCGGCGGCTAGCGCATTTGCTACAGACTACCCTTCTCTCGAAATCTTTCAGCGCCTTGACATGTTCTGTCTCTAAGCCACCAGAACTCGGAGATAGAATCTGGCTCCACGCCTTTTTTTCAGTTGTAGTCTTCATGTCAAACGTCCCCCCCGTGCAAGTCAGTCATTCGCATCGCCTCACTAGTCACCCCGTGTTCCCAGCTACGCTTCCTTTCCCCTAGCTTTCGTCCGTCGCCCTCTTCTCAAGTATAATGGGCCCCCAAAGCCCTAGTCTAATTATATTAAGGCCCTATAGTAATGACTCGGGACGCCGAGGAGCTGCCCACCGGGGGTTTGGCGAGGTCGCCAGGTTGCCGGCTTCTGGCACCCACGCGCCAAGGCGGAGGGATTGGCGTCCTGGAGTCTGAAATCATTATCCGTAGAACTGTTTTGGGGTTCGAGTTCAAGGTTTTCCTAGAGGCCTCGCGTTAATTATGAGCTTCGTCTCGTTTGAAAGGTGGTGCAGTCATTAGTCCATTTGTCACTTCATCGGAAATCGATACCCCAGCATCTAAGCCCACCAAAACAGCTTATTGTCAACATAATGTCTTGCTGGCGGCGTTTGCGCACTGCCCACGCGGGTACAAGGGAGCCTTCGCCGTCAGTGTGTTTGTGTCTGTGTGTGTGTGTGTGTGTCTGTGTGTTTGTGTCTGTGTGTTTGTGTTTGTGTCTATGTCTGTGTGTTCGTCTGTTTGTGTGTGCGGAGTCGGGGCGGGTGCGGGGCACACATGTTTGCCCAAGCATGGTGAGTTACGGAGTTGTTTGTCCTTACTTGTCGGCTTTCAACAAAGCATGCTCGCGCAGCTGAGCCGCCCGTGCAGGCCCAGCCTAGGCGAAGCTCGATCTGAACTCCGCGCGTATCCTGCCGCGTCGTTCTTGCAGTGCCTTGAGCTTCTTAGTTAAGCTGGCTGGTTAACTATTGGCTAGTATCGACGAGTTTGGGAGTCCACTTCTGCTGGTCTGCACTGATGCGCAAGAGGCACTGAGGCACTGCATTTATTGGCCAGCTGCATATGGCAGCTGAAGGATCTGAGCCTGGCCCGGGCGGATCGCCTCCTGGCCGCTAATGTCATCAACTTCTCCGCTTGGGAGTGGTTGTGCCCAGATGGGGATCGATTGCGAAGAGCGCATGAAACAGTGATGCCTTCAGCTCTGGACTGAGAGATGCCACGCCACCGGTGCACAGGTAGGCAGGCGCGCCTCCTTTTCTTTGCACCCTTGTGCAGTACCTTCTTGACCTATCTGTTTGTCTCTGTCTGTTTGTTGTGAAGTTGCAACTGAGCCGCATGTGTTTTCTTTAGTTGGGGCTGCTGCGTGCATATCATGTCGGACTTCAACACGCAAACTTCACGTGCTGTTGCTCCTTTTCATTCCATGAGCTGTGACGCTCAAGAGGGCAGCTTTTGCCAACGCCCCATGGCGACGGCAGGCCTGCGATCGGGTATGTGGCCGGAAGACTGAAACTTGCGGTTTTCGTAGTCGTAGGCAGCAGTGGCACGTAGCATGGTGGCTTGAAGCTCTTGCACGGTAGGGACATTTGGCATTTTCTGTGAGTGAAACAACCGGCCACATGCTGTTTACGTCTATGATCGTCTATGTGATGAAGGAGCGACTGCAAGTTCGCCAACTAGAAACCTCCGGCCTGTTAAGTGAGCATGGGATGGAAATGGACGGAATACGACAACTAGTAAATAGAACTGACATCTGACATGCCCGGCATCCAGCACAGGTGAGATGACCCTCCGTGCACCGCTGGTGGTCAGAAACAGCCCGGCGCGACGGGCCGAGCAAAGCTTGGATTTGACTTGAGTCTTTCGAAGTACTTCGTGGACCAAGCACCCCACGTCGGAACCCTCGAACGCTTTTGTGACGATTCTCTGTTTGTCGAATGGTTTGTATGTATGCATGTATGTATGCATAGGTGCAGGCATGGGTTTATGCATGCATACATGCTCTATCTGTGTTTCTGTCAATCCATCTGTCTATCTATCAAACCTTTTATTTTTATCCAGTCTGTTTCATCGACCTCTCTATCTACCTGTCTATCTATCTATCTATCTGAATAACTATAATTAATCTTTCGAATCTATCTATCCATCTATTTATCTCTTTATCTATGGGCATGGCGACACTCATTTCGACGTCACGGACGTAATAATGCTCCTCCCAAACCCACACCCCGCCCGCCCGCCACCGCCCCCTCCCCCGATAAAGCCGCAATTTCCAAATCTGAAAGCCAAGCCCTATGCGCCGCGTAACATAAACCTGCCTATATTTGTCGACCCTCTCGTTGACTCTCTGTCTGCGCATATACATCTACTTTTACATACACGCATGCAAATCCGTTTGCATATCTGTAGATCGAAGTCTACATGTCTACCCATATGTGTTCTTGGTCTTGGTTGGTTATTTGTTTACTGTATGTGAAGGTATACGTGTATATACACACGCGCACGCGCATCACTTAAAGTGCATTACAATACATACATACATACAGACATACGTACATGCTTACGTACTTACGTACTTACATATGCACAGACATAGACATTTGGAATGATGGTTTTCGTGACTGCACTGGGTTTGGCGTTTGGCAGTATCGTTCGCTTCGAAGTCGACTCACAACAGGAAGGAGGAAAGCGCCGCCATTTCCAACAAGCGGGTACGTAGACCCAACAACACGGAAGGCAACGACATCATCACTACTGGTACTGGTTGTTGTGGCGTGAACTTCTGCAGGCGAGCCTAATGCATCCCAAAATTCCGAAACAGCACAGTCTGACTCCCAAGGTCTTCAAGGCAGCGCGCTGTACTTGTTTGAATGGGAGCGGGACGCAGATTTCCATGCCTGGAAGGGGCTCGGGTTAGGGGATGGCCAGAATTCGCCAGGTTTCCGAGAAGGACCTTCTGCCTTGTGTAGTGGGAGGGTTCACGCTAAGCTCAACGTAAGCATGCAACAGACGATTCTATAGTCCCGAACTCGGAACTTTCTCGTCAGGGGCAGAGCCGAGCCACGGGAGCGTGAATGGGATGCTTGGAGCTTGGCACCACAGATTCCTGGCCGTGAAACCTGCAAAATAAGCCAAAACATGTGATAATTGCTTTTGATTGTCCTTGAGTAGTTGCTTATTGGGGCGGGACGGCTGCTGTTTATCCGTTCAGGTCTGTACACGAAGTATGCATTGCTGAACCTTGCTGCAGTGATAGCAAGGAGGCAAACTTTTGAAAGGGCGCTTGTACTTATGGTTTTCAGATGACAAGTTAGTGAAATGTTGGCTGTCCACGTCACTTCCATCCATGGCGCCACCAGGCCCTAGCCTTCGAAGATTTGTCGGGGAAGCCGGCGCTCATCAACCCCATCAAGCTCAAGGTACCTGGGCTGCTGCACACCGTCTCATGGTAAAGAAGGTCTTCGAGAAACATGGCATGTGGAGTTTCGAAGCCGGCTACCAAAGGGCCGTTGAAACACCACTCACTACTGGGTCTACAGGGAGTGAGACACCGTGGGGCGGGAAGAGGCCATGGCCATGAAGATGCGACATCGATTGCACAACCTGGAGTTCAAGCGGCCGACGTCCGTTCCAGAGCGGGGACCTCGGCTTGACAAGACTGGGTGCAACCTGCCAACATGTATCCTCGGAAGCCTTAGAAGCCATTCGCTGCCCTTGTGCTTGTGGCTGCCGCAGACTGAGTGTGCTGATGGGAGGAGCCTATCTGTCGCCGGTGTGGAGTCTGAGCCGCAGCCGGCTCGTGCGCCAAAGACACCTGGTGCATCTTGTTTTTCAGCCAGGGCTGTGCAAACCTACGAGCATGAATGAGTGCTAGCGAGAGCGGGCGAAGTCGAACTCATTGCACTAACTAGGGGTTTTCTAGGATTCTAGAGCAACTCTAGCGAACCTGCGTTGACGAGCGTTGCTGGTGCCTATGTTGGAGAAAGCATGGATCAGCCTCGAGCGCTCGCGTTCAGCCGCTGCGATTCGAAGACAGCTTCTCGTTGTAAACACGCAGCCAACGCATGCCCTGGCCAGGACGTATAGCGTGATGTACATCGTAGGCGGGCCGGCTGACGTCTGACGGGCCCTGCAGAAGTGCACTGGCAGTCCGTTTCCAGCTTCTGGTGGTCAGCTACTGTTTCCAAGCCTTGTGGTTTTCATCTTCTTGCGACGGGCGTTTGTTGCCTCAGCGGCTGGTTTTGAGGAAAGCATCAACAGTCGCAATGCTGACTGTGCCAGGAACTGACAACTTGGCGGGATTGAAAACTATTTTCAATCATCCGCTTAGCCCCTCGGCCAATTCGTTGTATGCTACTTCAGCAGTAGCCATGCCGTACGAGGCCAGGGCAAGTAGCTTTAAGTGAGTCGGACTTCCGATTGGGCGTGAATCGGCGTTATTGTCCAGTTATTGTTGTCATCTGAAAACCGGCAGCGGTTTGGTCAAGCTGTGGTAGCAGGTATTCTGTTGCTGGCCTGTCCACTCGGGGTCCTGCCGGCACGTCTTGCCCAGGGATGCACCACCATACGGGCAGCTACCCTGCCGCGAACCAGCAGCACAGCGGACTGTCTTATCAGAATGTTATGCCGCAGGCTGCTGCGTAGTCTGGCAATTAATCAGCAGCTACAAGCGTTTTTTGAACGCGAATCCTCTCTTTGAGTCGCCTGGTGCCGGCCAGACAAACATCTTTTGATAGCAAGGGCAATGAGTCCGAGCTTGAACATTACTCCGCAACTCCCATTTACCAACATGGGTGCATGTGTCAAAACCTCGTTGCAGGATGCCTACTTGTCCGGCATTTCTTCCGTATTTCTATGGTGATCATGGTCATGGTGATACAATGCATTTTTGCAGTTGTCCCTTCTTCTTAAATTGGCAGCAATGCTTCTAGCAATGCATTCCCTGATCGTTGTTGTCGTCATGTAGCAGTAGTCGTCGTAGTAGTAGTAGTAGTAGAAGAAGAAGAAGAAGTCGTAGTAGTAGTAGTAGTAGTAGTAGTAGTAGTAGTGGTAGTAGTAGTAGTAGCAGCAGTGGCAGTGGCAGTGGCAGTGGCAGTGGCAGTAGTAGCAGCAGTAGCAGTAGCAGTAGCAGTAGCAGTAGCAGTAGCAGTAGCAGTAGCAGTAGCAGTAGCAGTAGCAGTGGCAGTAGCAGTAGCAGTAGCAGTAGCAGTAGCAGTAGCAGTAGCAGTAGCAGTAGCAGTAGCAGTAGCAGTAGCAGTAGCAGTAGCAGCAGCGGTAGCAGTAGCAGTAGCAGTAGCAGTAGCAGTAGCAGTAGCAGTAGCAGTAGCAGTAGTAGTAGTAGCAGATGTAGTAGTCGTCGTCGTTGTCGCAGTAGTCGTCGTAGTAGCGGTAGATGTAGTAGTCGTCGTTGTAGTAGTAGTAGTAGAAGAAGTCGTAGTAGTAGTAGTAGTAGTAGTAGTAGTAGTAGTAGTAGTAGTAGTGGTAGTAGTAGTCGTCGTCGTCGTAGTAGTAGCAGCAGTAGTAGTAGTAGTAGTGGTAGTAGTAGTCGTCGTCGTCGTAGAAGTGGAAGCAGTCACAGTAGCAGCGGCAGCAGTAGTAGTGGTAGTAATAGAAGTAGATTAGTGGGAGTCGTCGTCGTGGTAGTATCAGTAATAGTAGTAGCAGCAGTAGTAGGAGCAGCAGCAGCAGGAGGAGGAGTAGTAGTAGTAGTAGTAGCCGTGGCAATAGCAGTAGTAGTAGTAGTAGCAGCAGCAGCGGCAGTAGTAGTTGTAGAAGTAGGAGTAGGAGTAGCGGAAGCGGTAGGTGCCGTACGAGTAGTACTAGAGCCTAGTGGCACGGGTGTTTTCCGCGATTAGCAGTAGCATGAAGGGGAAGTAGCTGACCGAGCTGTGAGTTGGCAATGATCGTGATGATGTTCATTTAGTCGGCGGGAGCCTGCGTCGTGCCCCAAATCTGGTGCATCTTGCACGCAGATAGTCGCCCACTTTGCCAACTGGGGGGACACCTGGGTGTCTGGCCCTCAGGTTCTGCACAAACGCAAAGGCTGCGGCTTGTGCGTCTGAACAGCCTGCCGATGTCGAAGTCAGGATCGTCGAAAGTGCCTACAGTGACCCCTGTGCCAGTCCTCACATGCTTCTTAGAGTCTTAGAGGTTCTGGCTGAATTTCCTCGCGCTGGTCCGGACCCTACTTTAAGGGGGCGGGCGAAAATCCCGGATGCCTGCGTGGAGTGCGACACTGGCAGTAGCACTAGATCTGTAGTCATGATAATAGTCGTCGTCGTCGCGGAAGTAGAAGCTATGGGGCAGAGTTCGGCCAATGCGGCTGTTCAATGTCCGGCTGACCCACACGGTCACAGCAGAATGCTGCAAGTTTTAGCACATGCCGCCTCTTGCTGTTTTGACATGTATGACCCGTCAGTCAGTCATGGAATGATATGGAAGGTACCTCGGCTGCGAAGTTGTGCCACAGTCGTACCGTCATACCTGCTCGTCGCAGTTCTTGGTACTGTCGTCTCTGGATGAAGCGACCGTTGTGAAATATGAGTACCCTTGTAATTATAGGCAGACATGCCGCAAGCCAACAGCACTACGCTTTGAATTACGGATTGCCGGATGTGAAAGCTTAACCGTTGCATGATGTTGCATGCACGCATGCGGGCAGGCGCAACATGTTTGTGTCACCGTGTCCCTTGCATCAGCTACTCGCACGTGCATGCGTGCATGTGCATCGACCAGGGGCGCAAACATACATGCACATGTGTCCGCCCCCAGCGCCAATACACGCATTGAGGTACCAGTGTACCTACGTATACATGTGCATATGTCACTATATGTTCTGAGATGTGTAAGTGTGTATATATATATATACATATTATGTAACTTCTTCATCTTGCTTGTGTCTAGGATTGTTTGTTCGATTAATCGATTATGGTCAGCCTGGTGCACATTCACTGGCAACCGATCATGAGCCGGCAGCTAGCAGAGTATCCCTCGAATTGACAAGCTTTGCCCAGGTGCCGCTTGCAAAGATCCTGGGCGACGCCACGGAGGAGAGTTCTTGATAGTGAGATCGGGTCAGGCCGAGACTTCAGAATCGGGGCTCAGGGTCAGTGCAGGGTGTTGGGCGTAAGAACATGCACCGATGACCATATCCGTGGCAGCTTCAGGACTGTGGCGCCTTGCATGGCTCTGGCACCCGCCTTGATATATGCAGCTTAATTAAGTTGTACTCATGAACTCATGAACACCGAATAACATCCAGCACCCTCTCATGCAGTCTGCTAGAGGAGCTTGCTGGCTCTATCAATAACGATACTGCCCGGGACCCGGTTCTGTCAGATGCGTTGCTTTTGGACGGCTGGATGTTTCTGGCATCCAAGAGCGTACTGGCGTACTGGACCGGAGCGGTTGTTTCTCGAAGAAGGAGACACACTCAGCCAACCTTAGCATGCTCAGATTACGGGACTGCTCAATGCCACCTTCGGCAATGCAGTCGAGATGATTGTTGCGATCCAGCCTCCCGCCACAATTATCGGAGTCGGATTGGGAACAGTGTCGAAGCTTCGTCGGTTTGAGGATTTATGATAAAGGGTTGTGAGTGTTTAAAACTGGCTGTCTTTTTGATGTCTTTTGCCCAAAACGGCCTTTGAGCTCGAAGTTCGATGTCCCCACAACATCTGGCAACGTTTGTTTCGGTTGGTTTAGCCCCCCTTACATTGCTTTGGCAACTGCCGACGTGTGCCTACTCCTGAAGAAGGCTGCTTGCTGAGATCCAACAAGTCAGGCTGAAAAATTGCATCGCCGATCGCAATTTTGGACCCTTGATCCGGCTGATCTGTCCTCGAAGTAAGGTCTATTCGATCCAACCTGTTGGACATAGTGAAGGCTCACTGAGGGAGGGGTGAGGGATTCCAATTCGAGGGGGGTTGAGGAATGCATCTAGGATAGTCTATGCGTCTTGGCTTCTCTTTATTGCAATGCAAACTAAGGACACTTAAACAAATGCCGTAACTGAACGCGATTCCAAGACGAAGTCCTAGAGAATGCCATTGATGAACAGGCCTAGCCCAGCGAGACTGTTGCTGATGAGTTTCACTCGTCTCACGGCTCAAACAGTTACGTAAATCCTGGCAAACATGGTCGGGGTTCCTGAAACTATAGGCTCTTGATCCTAAACCCAACATCCACAGAAGCCAAAGAGCGCATTTTCAGGCCAGTCTTCTAGGCTCTGTTCTGTCGAACACTCTGCTGGTGCATGGACCTTAGCATTCAACCCAAGCAAATTGCTGCCTTGGGAGCTCTTGTGGCAGTACGAGATGTTTCGTGATATTCCTTTCATTGCTTCCGCTGGAAGCATTACTGGTCTAGAATATTGGAAGACTTGTTGGTTCAAGTTCTATGGGCCAAAGCCCAAGACCCACGGCCCATGCTGGCAGATGTACCCTTCGAGTACCCAATTGTGCGTGGAGGCGTATCGCAGCAGCGACAGAGCGAGCAGACATACGCAGACATGCAGACTGACAGACACACGCTTGGCCTCAAAGCAGTCTGCTAGCGCTGAGCTCGAAGTCCGGGAATGAGAATCCCACCTTTCTGAAGATGGCTGCGAGTCACGCGGTCCCTGAACACCCGCTCCATTTGTTTGCTGGTGAGACGGATACCGAGGTTGGGTACAGCCTTTCTACTCGGTGGCCTGACACGTAGCCGGAAAAGGACTGTCGCCGACGTCCCCGACAGAAGCACAGCTGGGCTGAGTGTTCGATAGCATCGGTAGGCTCGACTGATCGTTTAGAGCATCAATGCCATCCGCAGCAGCCAAGAAGGAATCGATCCATCATGTGCATTTCAGTGGCTAGATAAGGAACAGGCAGCCACGAACCGCGGTGTTTGCAGGAGAGGTCGGTACCATTCTTTTCACGTCGTCAGCGAGGCAGGCGCCGGATTTGCCCTGGCTCTTCTCTCTGTCTCTCCCTCCCTCTCCCTGGCTCGCTAGCTCGGCAGCTCTCTCTCTGTCTCTTTGTCTCTTTGCCTCTCTCTCTCTCTCTCTTTTTTTCTCTCTCTCTCTCTCTCTCTCTCTCTCTCTCTCTCTCTCTCTCTCTCTTCTCTCTCTCTCTCTCTCTCTCTCTCTCTCTCTCTCTCTCTCTCTCTGTCTCTCTCTTTCTCTTTCTCTCTGCCTCTCTCTCTCTCTCTGTCTCTCTCTCTGTCTCTCTCTCTCTCTGTCTCTCTCTCTCTCTCTCTCTCTCTCTCTCTCTCTCCCTCTCCTGCGTATGAGTTTTACACCTTGACATCCCGAACGAAAACGGCTGAACAAGTCAGCACTTGTGCAAGTATGCACTGGGTATGTACTATGGAGGTGTAGAAGACAGACATACATGCACGCGTACATGCACACAGAGTGTTTATGTATGTACATGCATGTATGTATGTCTGTAAGTATATGCATGTACATATATGAAAACATACACACATATATATATATATGCACGCACATGCGAGTATGTGTTTTTGCTTGTTTTGTTGCGCATATATATATATATATATATATGTGTGTGTGTGTGTGTATGCTTCCTCCCTGTGCTTTCAGCAGACAGTGTGCGTCGAGCGGGGCATCCTGACATGACTCGGGTAGCTTTGTGTGAATCTCCGGCTTCCAGTTTTGTCTGGATGATTCTGATCGCGCTTTTCATCTTGATCAGTTGTTGCGCGTCTTGAAAAAAATGCTAAACCTGGCAGCTCAACGGTGGAAAGTCAACCTCCTGCGATATCCCAGCATGCAGGAGTTCGAGAAGAACGGCCCGACTCGTATGGAAAAGGAGCAGAAGTGAGAGACCCAAGTTGTGGTTGAGGTGTCGAGGCGTGGTATGAAGAGCGACGATGCAATCAGACTTGTGCAGACATCAGAGCCTGTACCTTGCATGATTGCCACCGCGAAACTTGACAGCACGGTGGAATTGTTTGGATATGTGAATCCCACCCCCGCCAGATACAGTATCTTGCCACTAAGGTTTGCTGTCAAGTCTGCGCTCATCAGCATGGCAATGCTCATGTTCAGCTGTATGTCTTTTGCCGTGCACTTACACTGCCGTCGCTACCGCAGTAGACATCTTCAGGATGTCTTGCCAGGCTGTGTGCATATTTCAACAGGGGAAGCTGCTGCTCATGTAGGCTCGTAGCAAGACCTCGATGCGTCGTCGATCTTGCTGTGCGGCCCGCGCTGCCAGAGTGACACAATATGCTGCGTGATCTGCAAGGCATTGCCAACGATCTTCAACTCCTACCCATCCGATGACCGCAAGTCGGTTCTGCAGGCATCAGCAGCTTTCTGAACATAGCTAGCTTTTTTCTGACTTGGGGACGGGAAACCTCAGGTCAGCTGATTGGAACGGCAACTTTCAGGATCAAGGGGTTTTGGCACGCGCGGTGTCAAGTCGTTTGAAGGCGGAAGAAACGGACTCCGGAAATAGCTGCTGCTACCACCACAGCCACCACGACGACAACGACGACTACTACTACTACTGCTGCTACTGCTACTCCTACTCCTACTCCTACTGCAACTACTACTTCAACCACCACCACCACCACGACGACAACTACTATCTACTACGACTACTACTTCTACTACTACGACTACTCCTGCTGCTGCTTCTGCTGCACCTAGTTGTTTGTTACTCCTGCTGCCCTTGGCTTGCGCCTGCTCGTGCTCTTGACTCTTGGTCGCAACTGTTTACCGTTACAGCTGCAGCTGCCACTGTTACCTCGCCGCTGAGCAGAAACACCACCAAGGCGACGCTCGCAGCCACTAACACCAACTATCTACTAAATTTACGACTGGCGACGGCTCAGTAGTGTTGCTTAATCACCCATTTGCAGTTGCAGCCTTGTTGCAGTTGGTTCTTCTGTTGTTGCTGTTGCAGCAGGTACTTTCAAGCCACTGCGTGCGACTACCTCCCTAATGCAGCCGAAGCAGGCTTTCAGTCTCATGTCGCTCCATAGCAGCTGGGCAGAGGTGTCGAGAATTGGTGCAGTCATCGTTCTGCTGGGGCCTTACAGAGCTCTTCACCGCAGGTTTGCGGTCATTCCAAAGAAGCCTTGTAAGCTTTGACTGTTGCCACGGGTAGTCGTCCCAAAGCATCCTGACGTGGATGCGAGGCGCTTGTGCAGCAGAGCTGGATGAAGAAACAAGGAACCCAATGTCCTGTCACGTCTCTCACGACGAAGGCGACACACACACACACACGCTTTAAATCCACAGCGCGGGCCCATGCTGAGGTCATCGTACGTTGCGTACCTCATATTCCAGCTGCTGACGCACGAGAAGACCCTGGGTGGAGAGGCTCTGGCCAACCAATGTGTGACAGATATTGATCTGCTGCCACTGCGTCGTTTTTCAAACATCAGTCTGTAGTGAAGGCAGCCAGCGTTGTCGTAGAACCACTACTGCTCGGATGCAAACTCCTCGGTCAAAGCAGCGGCACATGATCTGTCTGGGGTGTCTAGGTTTGGGTCGCAAAGTATACCGTTGAAAGTGCTTCGCGGCAAGGGCTACGAACTGAAGTAACTGTCAGTTGTACTCGCCCCAGTCGGAAGTGACAGCTTCTGACAGTCTACTGGCCTGGGAGGGCTTGAATTGAATTGTGAAAGACACGCATGGTAGCTACGCTGCAATTGTTTCGTTCAAGGCACAATGTCCGTTTCTTGTTACAGGGGAAGGTGAATCCGACGTCTGCCGGCAGGCCCTAGGATTGCAGAAGCGGGTACCGTTCCTTGAAGAGGCCTTATTAAGTCTTGTTTTTAGGTATTAAGGCCCCCCTACCCCCCTCCCCCCTTTCCCCCTAAGGCTCCAGAAATGGGCCGGCTCTTGTGGAAGTGTAGCAGCTGGCAGCATTCACTCATGGTCCACGTCGTCCCAACCACGTCATGTCGCAAGCATCCGTCCGCTGCCGGAATCTCCGTAGCAGCTGTTGGACAAGGGAGGTGTGAGATATTGGTCGCCTCGTGGGGTCGTAGCAGTCAAGTCTTCGCACATCACCGTCAAGGTTGCGACTGAAGGCGTCAGTGGCAGTTTGAAAGCAACTTGAGTTCAGGACCTGACTGGGGCTTGGAAGGCCCAAACACTCGATATTCTGTTTGTACAAAGCTCGTACAGTAGGCCCCCGGACAGGCTGGGGTTTAGAGTTCAGAGCCATGGACGACGATACCCTCGAGCAGCATCCTCTGGGAGCACTTGGAGCTTCAATCACATCCAGCGTGGACATGATGCACGCGCCGGCACGCATTACAACATCAACATCGACGCTGGAATGGGAAATGCAGAGGAGTGAGATGAAAAAGGAAATCACTCCTAGCATGAATGCATTCTTGACGGAGATCAGAAACAAGTTGCACCAGCTGGCGAACTTAGAGTCGCGCATCCTCCCCACAGAGAGCTTTATGCAGAGCGTGACTGGAAGTCTTGCATCCCAGACCACAGCTTTGGATAGCCTGTGTTATGCTGTGGAGCAGCTGAGAGCTGAAAATGAGCTTGCCAGACGGTACTCTCGAGTCTCCCTCAATAAGCGAACCTCGCGTGCTTCGCAGAACGTCCCACCTTCACCGCCCAATAAATCGCCCAATCTGGCCAGTATTATGCTGCATACGCCTGGTCGCGTGCCTGGACCTGCAGATGACAATGCCCCTTCTTTGCTGAATGGCTCTTCCAGCTCCTACAGCAAGCACTCGATTGAGAAAGTCTCGATGGATCGGTACTCTGGGGATCGCAACTCTGTCGATCGCGAAGTACCGGAGTTGGTCGCAGCGAGTGGAAGCAACCAGCCTCCAAAGAATTCCAAGCAACGCCCTTCGGACGCCTTAGTACCGACAGGCAAGAAGAAGCCGCAGTCTCGCACCCCGAGCTTGCAAAGCGTCGACTATAAACCGTCGGGGTCTGCTTATGGCATGATGGATGAGCTTGAGGCATTCACAGCTCAACAACTGATGCACAGGCGCGGGAAGGCTTCCGAGCCGGAAGCTAGCAGGTCTGTTGAGGTTGGCATTGACTTCAGAGATGAAGATGCGGCGCAGAAACCAGCAGCACAGCAGCCACCTGCAGACATGGGCGAGGCCAGGATCTTCGGAAAGCCCAGAGCTGTCACGCTCAAGGGAGCCAAGGACAAAGAAGGAATGCTCAAGAACTGTCGACGCATGTCCTTAGATGAGCTCCGGGAGAACTACGATGCGGTCATGGCTCGGCTCTCCGCGGATGCAACCCCGAAAGCAGCCAAGAGCCGCACCAATCTCACCAACCAGACCGACCCCTCGCACATCCGGGAACTTCGAGATAACTGGAGCATTTCAACAGCCCTGCCATGCATCTCATGGGTCCTTTTGGGCTTGTTCGGTGTCATGGACTTCGGGGAGGCTTGCTGTTGGCGTGTCTTTTCGAGGTGGGCGCATGGCGTCTTTCCTGTGATCCTGGTCTCGATGCTTGTCTACGCAAGCTCGCTGGGTGCTGTGGAGGCCATTGACACCGAAGCCTCCTGCTTCTACTTTGCAGGTGCCATTCTGGCAACCATCAGTCTTCGACGATGTGGCTTGCAGTCTTTGCTAAATGGCAGCGAGGAGTCGCTAGATGAATACGCATTCAAGGCTGGTTTCTTGAAGGACTGGCGACGCTTGTCCAAAAGGCGTTTGGTGGAAATGCTCTTTTTGCTCGCCCCGATGATCGTCTGCAGGGGGATCGTCAGTATATTGGCAAACAGAGGAGCCTGGAGCAGTATGGACGTTCTAGCTCTTCTCTCGTTTGCAGTTATGGAGCTTCAGCGTCTGATAGCCAACAGGAGCTGTTTTTATTCTGACTGTTTCTGCTCATTAGCAACCTCCGCGACACTCCCGAATCAAACTCCAGTCGGCGTGTGTTGTTGAACTGACTCAAATGTTTCACTTCCTCACATAGGGCAACCTCGGGCCACGGTCTCTTTCAACCCAATGTCTTTCAATCGTGACCCGCGGAGCAGAGTTCCTGAAGCAAAGGTTTGCCTTGGTGGCATATGTGCTGCTCCATATATGCGGTGGTTTGGAGCTTGCCATCGACAGCTTCGGCTTCCGTTTCTTCAAGGATCCCGTCCCCACACTCGCCAGGGTCGAAGTAGGGCATCCACACACAGGCATGCAATCCACTAAAGGTTGTATGTGGCGCATCCTCAACCTAACCCCACACACGGTAGTCCTGGTGGACACAGCCCGTCGTTTCCATGGGCCCGATAAATCCCTAAACCCGGACCAAAATCCGCAAACTGTGTTTGCAGGAGATGGACCTCGAGCAGGCGATCGACGAGTGGAACATGCTGCAGGCGACCTTGGGGCAGGCAGGGCGTCACCAAGTCAGCAGCTTGAAGGTTTGAGGCTTCGACACCATTCATGTAAGGCAATGTGGTCTTCGATGCAAGACTCGTCCAATTTTTGGGCTTGGAGTAAGCCTCGCGTGCTTTCACCCCAATTTGTTGGTGGTTCCCAAAGTTAGCGCCAGGTATCTGGACGTCTGAGTGGGGCTATCTTGCTTCTCGGGATGTCCTGCCTGGGGCCACTGGTCTTGCTCGCAGAGAGAGTGTTGCGCAGCCCTGACTTCCTGCAAGCCAACATTGACTCGGCATTCTGGATTGCCTGGCTCTATCCGCCTGTGCTACAATTCCTTTATGCAATTGCTCGAGCTGCATCCGTGACCGGGAGGGCATGCCGCGTGGCGCCGCTAGTGAACTCGTGGAAGTTTGAATCTGAATCCCCCGTCGAGGATGACGAGGTGGAGTCAGGGATGGATCCAGGGCGACAGTACGTTGTGCAGTACATCATCCAGAGTGAGGCAGGCTTTTACATGAAAGGGGTCCGCATTGCGGCCTCCGATGTGCAGAAGATGTGCTACTATCTTCTAGCCTTCACATTTGGGCTTGCTTCCAGGTTTTTCTAGAAGGCCGTGGCACGCGACGGCTGAGCTGTCAAAGTCCCGGGGCTGAGCCTTTCTCAGAAATCATCGCTTGCGATTAGCCAACATTCTAGGACTGCTCACGAAACCTCTCGTAAACTCCGAAGACATGGACATGGAACGTGTGAGGGGACCCTTCGCAGGTTTCAAGTCTTCCAGGTCGAAGGGCCGAAAGGATGCTCAGAAATTGGCTGTATTGCAGCTTTCGGGCTTCAGTCCTTTTCCTCACATCTTCGTATACCTGAAGTCGAACAGTGGTTTATACATATATACATATATATATATATATCCACCAAAATTTTCGATTGCAGCCGAAAATCTCTGAAGGCCACCGTAATAAGGTTTGGCGGTCAAGTAGGCAAGTCGATGGTGATGCGGCTTATGAGCGAAAGAGATTACACAAGGCCTTAAATAACGTGCGCAAAGACATCGCCACGCACGCCTAGCACAAACATGCATACATACATGCATATGTGCAGTCTTTGAAAAGGAATGTGATCCAAAGTTCTCAGGCTAATCATGCCCCGCGCTCCAGCCGTTCTTGTCGTGTGGCCGCCCGCACGGCTGATTGCTCCAGGTCCTCAAGACTTGTTGAGGCTTTTCCTTGCGAGCCCCAAAAACCTCAAAAGCTACGAGCCATTACATGCCAAATACCAAGTTCTAAAGATTCTAAACCCAGAACGCCAAAGCTGAGCACTGACCAGGGGTTGATCAAGCCTGCAGGCCTGCAGGTTTGAACGAAGCCACCTACCATAGAGGTTTCTTCAAGTGCTTGCCATCTTCATACCCTGGCCACGCATGTTCGACTAGGGCCGTCATGCTTCATTAAATCTTCAGCGAAGACACTACATCAGATTCTATTGTGCACAATCTGTCTGTGACTGAAAACACGCAAGAAGTTAGCGACTCCTACCGGCCAGCTAATGAGAATTTGACAGCATTCCCGGTGGCTGGTGGATACGTAGACTTACTGACCGTCTGGAAGGCCAGCACATGACAGTGGTACGTTAGTTTATCTGGCTTGTGGCCATCTCTGTGATGCAGATGGCAGCATGACTGAATCGTTGTTCCTGACCGCGCAGACGTGCAAAACTGAGGATGACCTGAGTCGTTCAGATGCACGGCTGTAGCTGTAGCTGGGAATATCTGGTTCATGGCTGGCCTGGTCTCTGAAGTATAAAAACTTGACTATCTGTGCAGACCTTATTCGAACTTCAGGGACCCCCCCGCCTTGTTCTGAGCACCCACACTGTTGCATTCAGCACTCTTCCGATGAAACACCTGATCCTCGAGATCTTATGGTATGCAAGTTCGGGACAGGCGGTGTGACTCTGCAGATGATGCCGGGACACTACAGGGCGAGACTTGAAGCACGACAACTGCGAATGCAACTAATAGAACAGCAAGCCCGCTCACGATCCTTGAGTTTGTGTACTCTGCTTCGGCAGTATAGATTCGGTATGATTCGATGCAGGCAACACTAAGCTTTGCCTGCCCACGTTTCGTTAGATCCGTATTCTGTCGAAGGTAGAGCATCTCCTGCGCCTGACACCGAGTCCGAATGGCAGTGCTGCATGGACGAACTCGCTGGTGGAACGAAAGCAACAATCCGATTGTTAGGCTTTGTCGGCAACCGACTTGTGCAGTGGGCTATGGTTTTTGGAGGGAGCAGGGGTCAAAGAGTTGGGCGGAGTTGCCCCACCTTCTGTTCAGATGTTTGCACACAGCGATGGCTTTTCCGCACAACATCCGCACAAGCTCCAACGCAATTCGGGGTTACACAAAGGACAGCTGGCCGCGGGTACTGGTGAACGTGGTTTTGTGACGGACGATTGCTGCTCCACCAGCTGCCTTAGGCTTCTGCTTCGAGCTGATCTAAGGAATTTCTGATCGACCGGCTAGTGAAGCATGTGAGCACACCTGTACCACGAAAAAATCCCGGCAGTTCCAAACCGCACACCGGATCAACAAGATGGTGTCAGAAGAACTCCACAGGAGTTCAAAGCGTCCGGTCATTCCAGAACTAGGACTATCTTGTGACGAAGTCGCCTGTTCGGGCGACAGCTGTAGATCTGGATACTGGAAGCGGCAAGCCAGGGAGCGCGCATCCGCCGCCCACACACTGCTCTCACCTCTGACCTCCGGGTGGCTCATAGGTTGATGTTCCCAAGGTTCTAGTAGCCTGGAGCCGAAATACCATGTCTGACATCGATTGCATGATGTCTTCCTTTGTCGGATGCCCAGACAGTAGCCCGTGGCCAGCACTGTTTTTTGAAATAGCGGGCATGTCAGAGTCCCTCGTCAAACTTATCAATGAACAGCAGCATAGTAGATGCACACTTATGAGCGGCATGCTACTTAAAGCAAGAGGTACACCGGTCATGTATCATGTGATTCATGTGCTATCCACCGTTCGGAGAATCCGAAGAAGTGATGGTGCACTTCCACGTTCCGATGAGTGGCAGGAAGCCAGGAGGACCAACCCGGCTTTTGCAGCCCTGCTTCTGAGGGACTCTGAACGCGGAGTAAGTACCAGGAGCGACACCTCCGGCAGAAGGAAGCCGGCGGGATGTGGAATGCCGTGGCATCAACATGACATTCGTAGAACAGCACGGGCAGTCCAACTCATACCACATGCGCCGGCACTGGAGAATTACCTCCGGTAATGACATGATTACCGATGTTTCAAGGAATGCCGGGGAGCTGCAGAAACCGAGTGCATCATCTTCAGGTCTTCACGTAGACAACAAGTGTGCAAACCCGCTACATCGGCGCAGGTCCCCGGTTGGCTTCTCCGCCTAAAGATGTTTCAATGTCAATAGTAACCCAGAAAAGACAAAGCACGCTGCAGCCGGTTGAGGTCTTTGTCGGAATGCTCGGCAAGTCGAGCATGTTCAGCGTTCAACGAAGTATCATGCCGGGCGCTGACTGCAGGGTATCGACGTCTGAACTTTCGATTTTCCTTTGCCAACATTGGGCCTTCGGTGTGGGAAGAAATACATGAGCAGCAACCTATTTTAGTATAGTCTCACTGCTTGGCTTGCCAACCAGCTTTCCACATGCGAACGGCGCCAGAAGCAGCTTTGGCTGTGCAGATTCGTGAAGCAATCGGTCAAGACTGCACCTTGCACGCCGCGTTGGGGCGCCGCAGTTGCGATGATGTACAGAGATCATACCTGGGCATTGCTTGGTTCACCTACTCTTAAAAGTTAGCAGCCTCTGCAGCCTTGTCTTACGTACCGCGAATCTCAGCTTCCCCCCGTAACGGGACTTGCAACCCAATCGTTGAGAGAACACGGCTTACATGTAGTGTGGAACGCCACCGAGAAGCTGGGCAGGAAGAGGCACTGAGCCCGGGACTCGAAGAGGGCGAAGACGAGGAGGAGGACGACGAGGACTTGGCGGAAAGCAATGTGGTACTCAATGGTTTGCACTTTCCATTGAGCAGTGACAGTGCCACCGAATGCGGATAGCAGCATGGTAGCATTCCGAATCATAGCAGTCGTTCTCGCAAGAACATGGACACTGGGTGTTGAAGGGCATGTTCATTCCATGAAACACTTTCATTTACAAAGAGACAGGTGGAACACAACAGAAGTCAGGTTCGAGAAGGCCAGGGTCACCAAAAAGAGTTGATAGCCTGTGGCTGTTCTGGACCTCGTGATTCGGACAACCCAACCCTCAACCGCAAACGCGCCGCGAGTTTTCCGTGATGCTATCATGCAGGTAAGACGCTTTCTTTCTTGGGGGCCTGGTGATCCACGACATAGACAGCATTAAACCTGAAATAACCTTCCCACGCATCTCCGAAGCTTTCCAGAAGGATGATGCAGGCCCCGGGCTTTCCGCATCTTGCGTGGGGCGCTCACTTGGATGTGTACAGGAGCTGTTTTTGGTTGAGTACCGTAAAACTGTCGGGAGCAGACTTCCGGCCCCTTCGCCCTGTTGCTTCGGAGGGGCCGCCTCTGATGGCAACTTTTCAGGTTTGTGATTTTCAAGGATGGGGCGAGGTGTGGAGTTAGCGTCTTGTAAACGTGCCCGAAATGCCGCCCGACTCCATTTGAGCGCACTGCCACAAAGAGTCAAGGCAACAGGGTTGATGGCTGTGTCGACGCTGGCGGTGGTCCGGGGCCTGGATGGAGGCAATGAAATCGGGATCACGCAGTATGCGATGCAGCTACCATGTGTATTGTGCATTCCGTTGACCATTGGAGCAGCTCGTTCTTATTGCACCAGCCTTTGATCTGCACATTTCGTGCAGCAAGCAGCAGAGAACAGCATCCGGATCCTGTGACCAACATGAGGCATGCCCACAGGGAGAGTGCAGTGTGTTGTGGTCTGGCGCAGTTGGGCTCAGAGTGCCGGGAGGATGAAGCTGGTTAAGAAGCTACTCTTTCACGTGCTGCCTGCTGCCTATTCAAGGAACCCGCATCCCGTCGCTTAAGGCCGTCAACTCCGAGTTTCTCGTTGACGTGATCGAGTCAGTGGATGGCTCAGCATCAAAGCGGATTGGATGCTTGGCCTTTCATGCAACATTAGCTCTAAGGTGCCTGGGGCTTAAACCTTGGAGCTTGGAAGAAACAGATTTCATCATCGCTTTTGCATTTTGCACATTTCCGAAAAGTAATTGTGGTGATCGGGCTCTACAAGGCAGCAACGCTCTCAATCTTTCCTCTCACTCTGAAGCAACCACAACAACAATTGCCAGCAATCACCACCAACCAACACCAATTACCAGCAGCCACAGCAACACCAGCAACAAAAGCCAGCATCAATAAGGACAACCACCGCGACACCACAAGAACGACTCCAATCCTTCGACGACGACGCCCACGCCGACAACAACGACGAACACCACCACAACAGCAACAAGACTGCGGGCACGTTTGCCGCAGTGTAGGGCATGTCGCTGGTTTTGCAGGAATTTGCAACAGCCTCGAGCTTCTTTGCTGCTTTTGTACAGGAGACGATGCTTTGATCAATGCATGTTTCATGTGTGTTGCTCTTGTTTGTTTCCTCGTGTTGTTGAGGAAGTAATGCAAATACTTGCAAATACCTTTGTTGTAGTCGTTATTGTTGTTTGATTTTTGCAATTCGTGCGACAGTTGCAGAGACAACCGGCACATGGTGCAGGTTTCGAGCAATTTATTTAAAGTGTGATGTTCGGCAAAGGGAAAGGCGCACGGCAGCAACAAGAGAACCCAGCGGAAGGAAGGAAACAGAAAGCCTAAGGCCGTCAATCTGTGACACCAAGACTCGAATCGTAAAGCCTAGCCCCAGCCAGCCAAAAGCCTAAACCCGCAAAACGAGGCTTGAGCCCCATCCCTAACAGCTTAACTTTACATAGGACTCCGAGCCCAAGACCACAAACAACACCGCAACTCTAAAGTCCCAGACTCAAAACGCGGGCACCTCATCCCCAAAGCCTGTAGCCAAAACTATGGTCATCACCCGCCAGCATCATGATAAGCATCTTCAGAATCACCATCATCGGGGAGGCACGGGCTTCATCATACCCTCCCCCCACCCATTGACAAAAAGACGTGAAGCCTGCCTGCCTTGTGCGAGAGTGTGTGACGAAACAGGAAAAACACTGCATGCATAATCCACGTGCCATGGGCCGTCATCACCCCCCGCCCCAGTACCAGGGACGCCATCCCCGACGAAAAGCATAAAGAAAAACACTGCATGTATAATCCCCACTGCCATGCAACAACACCTGCGGCAGCAGCAGCAGCAACAACAATGAACACGACTGCGACTGCGACAACTCCGACAACAGCAGCAACGGCACAACAACCAACAAACAACAACCACCAACTAAAACGATCACCAACGACAACGACAACCAGAACAACAACAAGAACAGGTAACAATGCCAACAACAACAACGACGACGACGACGACAATCACGATAGCACCAGCACCACCAACAACAACCACAACAACGACAACGACCACAACAACAACGACAACGACAACAACAGCAGCAGGAATAGCAGCAGCAAGCAGCAACAACAACAACAAAAACCGTAACGCTAACAGTAACGGCAACAGCAACGGTAACAGTAACAGTAGCAACGGCACCGCCACCGCCATCAGCAACAGCAATTGCAACATTGCTTTGAATAGTACGAATAGTAGAGCAGCAGCGGCAAACGCCGCTATCAACATCAGCTTCAATCACATAGTCATCTTGTGAACCTTTGACCCTGAACCTCAACGACAGAACCCTCAAGCCCTGTGAGCTTGAAGTATCATCTCCCAGAGCATGCGAGAACCTGAACCTTTAGAGCCCCAAGCCCGAACACTCCTCTAGGTGGTGCGGTCAAACGGCCTCCCCGAGAGCTACTGAGCTGGAAGAGCCTAAGGAACAGAGGTTTGATGAGAAGTTCCGGGTTTAGGGCTTCGGGATTGGAGTGTCCGGCTTTTCGGCAGGTCATGTCCCCCGTGCTAGTATGTATATTCGAGGCTTACAGACTCGAGTTTGGCAGGCAGCGCAGAGTTTGGTGGTACCTGGGTGTCGATGCTTGTCATTGTATGAGGCTTTATTGGAGTTGTCCTTCTGCCGATCGCTGGCAACGCTTGCGAACATGCCAGCGTCCTAGCTCAGAACGCAATGCGGTGTTGCAGGTGAAGTGTTTGGTGCGCGGCACTAGACTTGCCTGAGTTGTGCATGATACACAACAGTGAACCCTGAGTCTTCGTGCTAATTGTGGCAAGGCAGCCATTCCAACAAAGCATCTGGAACAAGCACGTGAAGCTGAAGTGAACGCAAACACACCAAACAACGAACAAGTTGCAGATTAGCTGGCTGCACGTCGCTTGATGCCCGGCAGAGATTGAATTTCAAACGCATGCTGAAAGGACAGGCGCACCCCAAAACGGAAACTTGCACAGAATCAAGCCTGTTTTGCCCCAGCAGAATCGACGGCCTTTCCCGGCCCCCAATGCCTCAATGCCCTGCCGCCTTGCCGTTTCGTTTTCCCTTAGTTGATCTTGTTTTGGTGTTGTTTTTCGTTTATGTTGATGTTGCTGCTCCTTTTGCACTGCTGCTGTCGGCATCTTGGATTTGTAGCCGTAGCAGTTCCCTTCCTGAACCATGTACCCTTCTTGGCCTTCTGAACCGGTCGTGTTGGACTGCGTCCTCATGTTTGCAACATGGCGTGGCCGGCCAGACTGTTTATACAGCTCGGTTGATTCCTGATCTTCTGGGTCAATATACATGTTTCGGGACAACATCCAGATACCTCTGCAGGAAACATGGCTCATGCTTCAAGAAAGCAAAGAAACTCCTTGTGCTTGAGCCGGAACACTTCCAATCCCGTTCTCCCTGCGAGCCCTCGATCTAAGCTCCCGGCTCAAGACGCTGTCGGAATAGAATATCTTCCTACATCTTCCTCAACAATCCAGAACTCCAGAAGCTTTGTCCCGAGGGGACAGCGTGTTGCGAGGGTTCAACTATGTCCAACTCAGCACATTGCAGTTTGCTGGACCGACCTAACCTGTGGCACCTCGCTTGGCCAGTTCCAGAGCGACTGCGCAGAATGAACGGAGAGTTGACAGTTTCTAGTCATTCTAGTCTCGTGTAGGAGCTGAAGCCACCTCACTTGGGCTTTCCCAAAGTGACTAGATGCGAACCACAATCCAATTCGAAGTACATCTGGCGACAACCATGGCAAGACCATAGCAGGCGTGGCAGTAGCACCGCCTTATCCATTACAAGTACTGTACTACTACTCGCGCTGCTACTAACTTCCTTGCTCATGATGCAATAGCCTCACTCACCATCATGACACTCCCAGTCGTGACGAAACTGAAGACAGTCGGAGCTGTTGCTGCTGCTGCTGTTGCTGCCGGCAACCGCAGCAGTACTGAAATACGGCGCCAAAGCTCTCCAAGGTAGCAGGAACGATTGTCTGAGCATCACGAGATACTCCTGTTGTCGCTGATGATCACTGGTGGTGGTGGTGGTGGGGGTGGTGATTGTGCTGGTGCTTGTGTTTCTGCTGGTGGTTGCATGCAAGCCCAGGCAAGCGCCATCCGATTTGCCATGCAGGACCGGGCTACCAGTCGCGATCCGGCCAGGAAATTCCTTACAGAGCCTTCGCCTGATCGCAACAACGGCCATTAGCTGGAAGCATTGCATCCTGTGGCCATTATGCCATTACCGCAATCAGAGGCAGTCCATGGTTATGCTCATGAACACATGACCAGAACTGCCTGTCTCCGCTCTTATCCTACACGGGTCCCGGAATGCCGTGCTGTGTCGCGTCAGTTTTCGAACCATGGCCATCACGGTGACGGTGTGCATTCTTAGCGGCGGCCGGGCGAGCGTGTCGCTGCCCCGACATGCATTGATCTCCGCCTTACGTCGCGCGGCACAGTCTGCATTGGGGCGTGGCATCCGCAACCTGGACATCAGGGCTGGCAAGTAATGTCTTCAGGTTGGGTATAATCTTCATCAGTTTTCAGGAGTAACCTACAGTTTCTGAGACGACATGCTGGTAGACTGCAGCCTTCGCTTTGCCCGCTGCTGGTTCAGGTGCCCTTGTGACGTCGAAAGGAGAAGTCCTACAGGCTTTTGGCAGTTTGGCAGAGGCAGGAATCGAAGACGGTGACGTCGTTTCCGCCATCGTCCGAGAGGTTGAGGTGCGAGCGCATGCATCATTTTCCGTGGCTTGTTTATCGCAAACAGCCAAACATAGCCAAGCTAATCCATTCGACTTGGGTGCGATGCGTGTGCTGTCGAGCCCGCGAAGATATATTTTGCTCCTGTATGTATCATGTAGGCCTTACAACCTGCTTACAACCAACTCCCACCACCCTGCGTCAGGTCTTTGCCCACAAGCTCGGGAGGTCTTTTGCTGCCATCGGCACAGATGGCAGAGTGACGACGTGGGGCCATGGCTCCAATGGCGGAGACAGCCTGTCCGTGAAAGAAAAGCTTCAGGACGTCCAGGATATTAAGGTGCCGCTCCCATGAGACGTCACCATGTTTTTCTACACATGTCGCTGATGTAGCTAGGGCCCGAATCACTATATAATTGTTGTAACTAGTCCGTGCAGGCCACGGTTGGTGCCTTTGCTGCCATCTGCGGCGACGGCAAGGTCGTGACATGGGGCAATCCCGACTGTGGTGGGGACAGCACAGCCGTAGAAGCAATGCTTGAGGACGTTTGCTATGTCGCCTGTACATACAAAGCATTCGCAGCTCTCCGGCGTGATGGATCCGTGATTGCTTGGGGTAGCGGAGCATATGGCGGTGATACAGAGGACATCAACTTCCAACTCCAAGATGTGCGATGTGTGTATTCTACCACTGGTGCTTTCGCCGCGGTGAGGTACGATGGGACCGTAATCACTTGGGGTTCTCTGTCCTGTGGTGGCAACAGTGACACGGTCCAGGAGTTGTTGACAGATGTTACGGAGATTGTTGGAGCATCCAGGGCTTTCGCAGCCATCAAAGCGGATGGAACGGTGGCAACCTGGTGTTGCAAGCTATGGCCAGACTTCGATGCTATTGTGGGCGGCGACAGTGAAGCAGTGCAACAGCAGCTCTACGGTGTGCAGCAGGTCATCGCATCAACGCATGCGTTTGCGGCGATCCGATCAGCAGGAGACGTGGTAACATGGGGGGCTTCCAGCTGTGGTGGCAACTGCGAGGCTGTCCGTGAACAGCTGGCAGATGTGAAAACCATCCATGCAAATGCCTTTGCCTTCGCGGCATTGAGAGCTGATGGGACTGTTGTTACCTGGGGTGACAATGCCTACGGAGGCGACAGTCGGGCTGTCCACAGTCAGCTGCATGGCGTTCAACATATTGTAGCCACAGGCGGAGCTTTCGCTGCTCTGAGAAGGGATAGGACAGTTGTGACTTGGGGCAGTGCAGAGCACGGGGGTGACAGCTCTGCTGCCGCTGACCTTCTGGTGAACGTGCAGCAGCTTTGCCCTTCACTGCGAGCGTTTGCCGCCCTCAAACGTGACGGAAGTGTGGTGACATGGGGTAGCGCAGAGTATGGCGGAGACAGCTGTGCAGTACAGGAGCAGCTGCACGACATTCATCGTTTAGATGCCTCGATGCGCGCCTTCACTGCTGCGAGAGTAGATGGCTCCTTTGTATCCTGGGGCAATCTGGCCTTTGGGGGAACCACTAACTTCATGGAACATGGCTACTACTGAGCGCATAGCAGAATCAAGCGAAGCGTCTCTGACTTTGCCTGGTTTACCGTAGTCATCGCTGTTCTGTGGCCACTGATGCCCAGAATCAAGCAAAATGCAGCACCGACAGTGGGGCAGCATGTGGAGCATGATTTCCCGAGAACAGCACTTGACATCAAAGAGCCATGCTAAAGTGCCTTCGCACACACTCGAATTAGATACGCTTATCTGAGTTTGCGGCACCTTCTAGCTTACAGCTTGTAAGGCTCATTGTCTCGCATGAGCTTCCTCGAGCATGTCTGAGACTTGACCTGGCACTGGCCCCCACTCCGCAATGCGGAGAAGTCCTTGGAGGAGTCTTTTTGGGTAGCACGGGTGGGGAGGGGACGCCCTACCACAGCCTCAGTTTAGAGGGCCGCTAAATCCTAACTGAGGGTTGCAAGTCGCAAAACCGAAGACACCAAGCGCAGTCAACATCGGCACATTTACTGCAAGAGCCCCGAACTCGACCGCTTTCTGGTCTTCAGGATCGGCCCGGGCTTGCCATTGGCATAGCAGCCGATGGCTCAGTCCAGCTGGGCTTGGTCATCCAGCACCATCAATCTAGGAATCCGGCATCGGTTGAATGACGGCAATGTAGACATGCTTTGTAGCTTCGTGAGGGAAGCTACTACTAAAGCCTGCCTTCTCAAATCACGTCGCATGGAATCGGCGACATCGGCCGAGGTTGGTTCTGCGACCCAGATCTCTCTCCTCGCGCGCGGCTGAGCATTAAAACGTCCGACATCTACGTGTGTGTGTGTGTGTGTGCGCGTGTGCCCACAGGGCGCATCATGCAACACGCTCTGCTGACCCCACCCACACCCACACCCACGTCAGCAACTGCAGAACAGCCTGCAGCCGAGGCGCAATGCACCCACCCACACCCACATTCAAACACACACGCGCACACACACACACACACGCACACACTCACTCACACAAGCACGCGCACGCACGCACACACACACACACACACACATGCACGGACGCAAGATCGTGAGTGCAATGCGAGTTCAGCGTTCTTTCGTGCTGCAGTCCCTGTACGTAGTTTTGACAGAAACCTCGCCTGATTCGTTGAGGGAGAGTGACAAAAATGTAGTTTTGACACAGTGTGACTGCGTCAATATGTATCTATATACATATATATATATATATATACGTATTTATTTATTTAAATATTTCATAAGACAATACACAAGGCATTTGTGACATGTCTCCTTCCGTGTTCGTCTGCAGACACTCCAGGTGGTTCCTTTCTCCGTTATTGCAGCCTGGTTTATGGACTCGTCCTCAGCAGCTTCCAAAGTTGTCACAGACCTGGTCTCCACAAGTCTTACGAAGAAGAGACCTGGCCCAGGACAAGCCTTTGGATCTGGACTTCGGAGTCCTGAACACAGCAGCCCAGGGCTTAGAGAAGATGGGGCTCAATTCCCTTGACACCATTGGCCCTTTGATTGGCACGCGGTGACGCAGAAGCCAAGCGCGCATTCAATACTTTGGGATGTGCCTCTGGGTATAACCACTGTACACCTGCAGTCTGGGCAGTAGTGGTAGATAGATAGTTAGCAAGGTAGGTAGATAGCAGATAGACAGCTAGACAGATAGATGCATAGAAAGATGGATAGACAGATCGCTTGGTCGAAAGATAGACTAACAGACATAAAACAGAAAGATAGAACGATACATGGATAGACATGCTAGCAGCCGCACAGCGGGAGCAGATAGATACATAGATTGACAAACAGATAAACATTTGGACAGATAGGTAGACAGTTTAACGGGTCGATAGATAGATCGATCGACGCATAGGTCGATGGATCTAGAACTCTAGATTGCTAGACTTGATAGATCAACAGATAGCTAGACACATAGACAGTCAAGCATGTTCAGAGACGGACAATTAGATTCGTTTAGACCGATAGGTATGTAGATAGATTAGTGGCTAGCTACCACCTGCCACAGTGATGTTCCCATTTTGCGTGTTCCCGCTTCAAAACGCTACAGGTGGAGATGCACAGATGAATGATTGACCCACATTTCTGCAGGTGTACCATCACACAACACACTACAATTCCAGCAGGTCCCTAAAGTAAAGAAGGTGGTGATAGGCAGTATGAAAAGACTTGAAAAGACTGTATGTGCACGCACTATATTCTCGTGCCTGCCTAACGTATACACAGGTATATATGTGGCAATTGGACCAACCTCACGGTCGTCGGTGTCATTTCGGCCCTGTAATCGCTTTAACACGTTCCCTTGTATTCCCGAGATGGACGCGTACTCTGCTCCTGCTGCTCTAGCTGCTAATTGTAGTGATTTCACCACCCACGACGACGACTACTACGGTTACAACTACCACGACCTTTTCTCAGCGTCGGGTAGTTAACTACTAATTACTATTATTACTACTACTACTACTACTACTACTATTACTACTACTACTACTCCTACTACTACTACTACTACTGCTACCTGCTACCTGCTACCTGCTACCTGCTACCTGCTACCTGCTACCTGCTACCTGCTACCTGCTACCTGCTACCTGCTACCTGCTACCTGCTACCTGCTACCTACTACCTACTACCTACTACCTACTACCTACTACCTACTACTACCACTACTACTACTACTACTACTACTACTACTACTACTACTACTACTACTACTACTACTACTACTACTACTACTATGCACGGACTTCGGTCGATCGATGCAATCGCTTCACTCTTTGGTACTACTGCTACGACTACGACTACGACGACGACTACTACAACTACTACAACTATACTACAACATCAACCTGCTCCTACTCATACTACTCCTACTCCTACGACCACCACCACCACCACCACCGCGCCTCCTACTACTACTACTACTACTACCACTACTCCTACTGCTCCTGCTACTAGTAGTAGTATTGCTGCTCCTTCTACTACTACTACGACGACGACGACTACTACTACTACTACTACTACTACTCGTCACAGACTTGCAAGTAGGTTGTAGCAACAGATTGAGACATTTCCGATCGACGCAGCCTTACTTCGTCGTCTGCCTGTTGTTTGCTTTTGGCTGTGTTTTTCGTGGAGGTGTTTTTCCACTTAGGCTCCGTTGCGACTTGCTGCAGCTTAGTCCTCGCGGAGCTGTCATCGGCATGCCATGCGAGTGACAAAACTACTACTACCACTACTACTGCTGCTGCTGCTACTGCTAATGCTAATCCTACTACTACTACTACTACTACTACTGCTACCTGCTACCTGCTACCTGCTACCTGCTACCTGCTACCTGCTACCTGCTACCTACTACCTACTACCTACCACCTACCACCTACCACCTACTACCTACTACTTACTACCTACTACTACTACTACTGCTACTACTGCTACTACTGCTACTACTGCTACTACTGCTACTACTGCTACTACTGCTACTACTGCTACTACTGCTACTACTGCTACTACTGCTACTGCTACCGCTACCGCTACCGCTACTGCGACTGCTGCTGTACTGCTACTGGTACTACGACTACTCCTACTGCTACTACTACTCCTCCTCCTTCTAGTCTACTTCTACTTCTATTTCTACTACTACTTCTACTACTGTTGCCTGCAGCGCGGGTTCGCGAGAGTCCGACAAGTGGGAGCCAAAAACTACTGCTGCTACCACTGCCACTGCTACTGCTACTGACGATCCAGGATCGCATGCCATTCATCATACTGGTGCTTACACTGTCACCGTCACTCGTCTTCCATCGTTATAATCCGTGGCTTTCTTACTCACTTTCAACATTAGCACGCATTTTTGGCGTGCTAATCAATGGTGGTCCTCACACCATTGGTGCTGCTGCTGAGGATGATGATAAAATTGCGAGTATGCTTGGTTTGCAGCTACTTACTTCGCGTACTGAGAGTACTTTCGAGCATCACGGCCGTTTAATCTGGGTGCAAGTAATCATACCACGGCCTGCGGTGTTCTTGATGCTGCTGACATGGTAAACTTAATGCATGGGCATTACAAATGGCACTGCTGTTGGCAGCCTGGACTGTAGTTTAAAGGCCAAAGACATGGTCAGTATTGCTGACAATACGCTTTTCAGTCAGACAGCCCACAGCACAATCATTTCTAGAGTTGCTACTAATTCGGTATAGTACGGTTCAAAACATCACAAAGTGTGACTGGCCAATACGACGAAAGATCGTCTATGCCATGCATGACTTTCAATGCGAACAGCTGCTGCCGGCACTCTTCCCCATGTCACGTTGCTAATTTGACCAGCTTCGATTGCTCAGCTTACTACTTGCAGAACGATTGCTGGCGATGTTGGCGCTATTAAGAAAGATGCTACCGTTAGCCATGTTGTTGCTAATGCTGTCAAGATGCCAGCGTTGCAGACTTTGCTAGACACTGTCAGCATATCGCGCACTACCAGTTCCTCAGAATGCCAGGGTTGCACATAGTTACCATTGTCAATCTGGTTGTTCTGGCAGCTTCATCGAGATTTTCAGCATTGTAGACATGGGTCCAGTTCTTGATTTGTATTACGTCCGATAAGGTGCATCTTTAGAGCATAATACAGTACAGCTATATATCATACACATTTATATTCCAGCAGGGCTTCGTCAAAGTCAAATCACACTCCGCTGTCGATCCGTGTCTCGACGGACACTACAGTATACAGATATTTCGGCATATGCTGAGTGGGCTTAGCTGGTCCTACACAGCAAAGATGTGCTTGTGAACTCCGCTTTCCTTCTCGTGGGATTGTAGGTTGTCACGTTCTGCATTCTGGTCGTTCTGACGCTTCTTCTGGATGGGCGATCCAACTGGCCGCTGCCTCGAAATCCGCAGTTGGGCTTGCACGATTATGTACGCTACTAGAGCAGCAAGCATGCAGGCCGATAGTAGGTTGCATGGATGGCTGGATGGCTGAATCTTTGCGGCAACACGTCTGCCTGTAGATGCAGGTGTAAACGACAGTGAAAAAATATGATTCGGGAGGCCGATCTCTGTCCGATCTCTGTCCCTTACGAGTTCAACGAATCTGTACTCTGCGGAGTTATTCGTTACACTGTCGCTTCATGAGCCCCTGCTCCCATCCTGACAACGGATGATGTGAGAATCCAAAGACAAGCCCACTGACTGCGGCGAAGGTTCAAAGGCTACATCCTGTGTTGCATGTACGCCTTCCTTTCGGTGAGGATCCCAGATCAGATATCTTTCGTGTACGGGACAGGCCGCATGCATGATCCTGAGAAACGAAGCTCAAAAATTGGCGAAAGTCTGCGGGCATGATGTGAGATATGCCCGTCTTCCGTGCCGTGCGTTGGTCGGTTTGTCACTTGCTGTACAACGCAGTGATTGTCGCGATGTCCCATAGTCCACGCAAGGTTCTGTACTGGTACGTTCCACAGTTCATGCAGCACAAGGCATGGACAGGCACCGGGCATTCAAAAGCTGTGCGGACATGCAAGTTGGGAACCGCCTTGCAAAGGTTTGTATCAAGGACCCTCTGTCGTAAAGCCTGCTATGCTGTATCTTGCGCTACTCGAGAACAGTTGACAATGATGAAAGGGATGCAACCACGTTATTTGTCATTATCTCTCCATGACACATGGTTGTTGGCAGCTTGTACGATCTCCCAATCCCAGCGCAAGGCTGAAGGCGGTCGCACAAGCTACGTCAGGAACAATCGCTCTCCTAAATTAAACCACACTGAAAACCATCACTCGATGATAGTGTCCGGCTGACAACACACAGCAACTTGACGTGCCAGGGAATCCAGGGTGATGAAGCCGACGGCAAATTGCTTGCCAAGCTAAGCGCGATGAGTCTGGGCTTTCTCGTGCAATGGGGCAGAACCTAGACGTGCAGACCCCGAGCTCCAGCCTGATCCTACAGCTGAATGATTTGATCCATTCTGTCGCCCGTTGCGCTGAGCACACGTATTGTATAGTGGCTGAAATAGAGAGCGAAGCTCTGAGCAGCAATTCATTATCTCATGGTTTCTGATGGGCTACTTTCCGTCTACTATGCTATTGCTATCTCGCTCCAGTTGCTGATTCTGGCTGTTGCTTCTGTTCATTGCTTTTGTGTTGTAGTCGTAATCGCCGCCATTATGAGTATGTTCAATTCCAGTTTGCCGTGCAAGCAGGCCTCCGGGCACACGTTCCTTTCATGCAAAGGTTTAAGCTCACAAATTCCTGCTTTGACTTGGCCGGAGACCTGAAGCTCGAGATGGAGCATCCTGGACAGCTGGCACAAACAAGTGCCACTGTCAAATTCACCTGACGCAGGTCGGAACTCTAATCTATTGCTTGCAAAATCGCGTTGAAAAGGCAGCATTCGACACTCTACGGAAAGTTGCAAATCGGGACTTTGCTGCCAGTGGAAGCTATAGCGAGACATTGACAGGCCAGACCGCATTTTGTGTGGGAGATACTCCTTTCACAGTGGGATGGTGGAGAATCTTCTTGCTTGCTTCTGCTGTACATGATTCGCCTTCCGTGGGTTTTGTGCCTTCAGCGTCGACGTTTTAATTAAGTATAATTAAGTCATGAAGTATTTTAAGGAATGTCCCACCGCGCTGTGGCTGCTATGCTAGCTTACTAAAACTGAACTAGGTTTGTCAATGGCGCGGGGCCCCTGTACGACACGTTGTGACAGGTTGTGTCGCAAAATGTGTTCCTTTCATGTTGGCGTCTTTAATGTAAGCCGCTGTGTTGCTGCTGGGGTAGGGACCCCAGAAAGCAGATATGCACTTGGTAATTACAAGCTGTATTCAAGTGTCTAGCGAGTCCGAGTTGCGAGAGCGTAGACATGCGACAAACATGAAATGACAGATGTCTAGCAACTGGCGACAGCGCACATAAACCATCCCAAATCCGGAGCCTGTACCCAACTCCATTAAGCCTCTACAGTTATAAGGCATTCGTGCACGTGGCATCACGTGGCCGCAGCGAGACTTTGATTGTTGCGGCATCTGTCGAGCTCTTGGCACTTCATGCGCTACTGCCTACGCGGATGCTTAAGCTGTCCACTGTCCACCAGATGCCCATTAATTACGCTGAAGCCCGACGGACATGCCACGTAAGATTATGCGCTACTGGTACGATTTGGATGCCAGCAAGTTGGATCAGACCCAACCCGGAGATGGCACATGGACAAGTTTGGGCCCCCCCCCCCGCATTTTATGTAGAAGTTGCTACAGATACAGGACCAGTGGCACATGGATATAGCTTCATCTCGGGATCGGCCATGCGAGCCAAAAGCCTTAAACCCTCAACCCTTACAAAGCGAGGACATAGATCCCAGCCATGCGCAAGGGAAACGCGCCCTCATTATTTAAGTTGGTATATGTCTATACGTTCAACAACTTACGGTCGCCATGGCTGTGAAATCGCCGAAGAAGCCTCGACTCAAGCGCCTCGTGTGGATTTTCTGGAAGCTTGGCCAGAGTTCCCTCGGCTTGTTGCAGACTTCACCACTAGGGTTCTCGCTCAGATCTTTCTGCTTTCGGCGACGGTTGCCTGGATTCAAGCTCATGTTGCCAAAACCGTCTTTCAAGGCCCGAACCGACTCGGATTTCAGCTGCCTTTGGCCCGATAGGACAAGTGATTCTGCAGGTTTTGGGGTTGATCATGATGATGCTCCATGATGAAGATGAGGGCGCCGGTGGTGATGCACGTGGCAGCGGTTGTGATGAGGATCATGCTCTTGCAGGATCGGGCCCATGATCTCCGTGGTAATGGCACCCATCTTGCTCCATGCCGCTTCACAAGAGCTCTCTCTGTCCACCGATGCCTCTTGGCCAGCGTTTGAGCAACTTCTTTATCCTGAACCAGTGTTCTGCAATATTCGTGGCCAGAGTCATTCTGACAGTCCAACCGAAGGCATTCCTAAGCGAAACGGCGAGGTTGGGCGACAGATAGTGATCTGTCGTATTAAGATTAAGTCTTAACGCCATGCCGGGAGCCCTTGACAAATTTGCCCTGTGTATGTGCCGTCTTGTTGCTTCAACATGGGACTCAGAGCTTACAGGAATTCGGAACACGCCTAGAGCCCCTTGACCAGCCGCCTAAGCCCTGCAGGACGAGAGAGAGTAAGGGGGAATGTGGGGGGGCCCTGGGCCGGGTCCGACTGCGGACTCTAAGTTCTCAGGATTGTTTTCTTTGCCTGCAATATTTGCCTTCCGGGTGGGCTTGGAGTCCTGACCGACCCCCATGCCCGGGACGGAGAGAGAGGGCATGCGGAACACGAGCTGACCAAGGCGTGAGTTGGAAGATGAACCGGGGTTGTGGACTTAAAGGATGGAACGCCAAAACAGCTCGTGGGTCACCAGACTCAAGTTTCACACCGAACACAGACCGCAGGCGTAGCGCTCGCGTGCAGGGGTTGTGGGGACCGCCCCCATGCCCCAAACGCCCTGCAAGCAAGCAAGCAAGGCATGCGGAAGAAGAGGGGGAGACAGAAAGAGAAGAAGCCGCAGACACCTCTCTGTCACATTCTACATGTTAAGCATCTTGAAGTCATAAGGGAACTACGGCTTGAAACGGGGTAACTGCCGTCATGTGTGCCGTCCAGAAGACCTCGAGTCTGGCTTGTAAGTCGTAGATGCGCCATGGCATGTGCACAGCTGCCCCTGCTTCAAACAACGGGGAGCTTGTTGAAGTGAGGCTGCACCTCCAACAACCCAGATGAGCATGTTTCGTAAAGTTGGGAGAACCAAGCAATGTCCACACTCGGTAGTACACCTGGCTTGCAAGCGTTTTGATACCTATCAACTCTTCTGCACACTCTCAAAGCCTTATGGGTTGGGGCTTAACTGCTCAAGAAGCTGCGCTCGTGCCGACCGAAATCTGAGGAGCACATGTTTGCAACTGCGGCACTCCTGCTGATGATTGCAAGCCTGTCCGTAATCGGATGCGTGTGACTCTTCGGCAGAGAATTATCTTCAGGCCCCAAGACTTAACTTGCAGTTGCTCCCGCACAGACGTAACAACATGTAGCATGTGCAAGTCACAGAGTTTTAGACCCGGTGTATCACACTACCCCGATATCGAGCAGTGTGGAGCAATCATCTCGGGTTCGCATGTGCAGAGATTGGAGAAGACTTTCAGCAGGCAGGTCGCGCTGTTTGACCGAGTACCGTGGAGTACGGTACATGTTTGACTGTTGCTGACTCATGGCCTGCCAAATGCACCAAAGTGCTCCTTGCTGAGGCTTGAGGAGACCTGCCAGTGTCCGCGCAACTTTCCACTCCTGGTGTTGGTTGCGCAAATCAGCACTTTGGCCACCCTGCTTTCAACTGGCCTAGGGAACCCAGCACCGCCCCTAACGCGTTGTGTTGCTTGCAAGAGGTAGGCGGCGTGTAGTAGCTCCAAGCTGTGCCGTGAGTTTGATACCCTAAGAACGACGATGCGGGGACCCTAGCGGGGTGGGTTCTTTCTCCGGCTTTCCAGACATGGAAGTCTGAAATGCCCCAATGGTGCATCAACATGGGGTGAATTGTTAACAATTGCAGTCTGAGGTCTTGGCAGTCGTCATTTGGCCATCCCTCTTTGGGACCACGTTGCCCAAGCCGACCCTAGTCTTGTCCTGGCAGCCGAAGGGTCGAGTCAAGAAGCGCATCGATTCTGGTTTGGAAGAGGGATGCAACAAGCAAGGACCTTGTGGAGGTTTAGGTTGTGGGGGTGCGACTGGGGTCTGGCCGCAGATAAGGAATGAGGTCGAGGAGTGGCTGTCAAAGCGTTGGCAGAACGTCCTGCGAGCAAGGGGCATAGCTGCCCCCATAGTCCCAATGCTGCTGGGCTGACAGAAGGTTTCTAGCGATTGGCCGGCTGTCGTCACTATGGGCTGTGTCTTCACCTGTGTTTCATGCCGTCCATGGGTGGTCATCCAGATCAAGGCAAGCTGCCCAAGCTTCTGGAAATGTTGAAGCAGATTTTGCATCTGCTAATCTGCGCGGTGCGGCCCCACGGCTGCACTGGTCTACGACAGGAGCACTGTTGACTGCTCGTTAGTTGTTTGCACCGCAGGAGATCAGAAAGTCTCACAGGTGCTAGGGTAGCTAGAAAACATTCCTTACCGAGATCATAATTTCCTTGGGGTACATGGTACGCATTGGATACCAGGCTGGTAGACGCCGTGCAGAAGAGCCGGACAAATTCATCACATGGGAGCTTGTCCCCCTCTACAGCCCGAAGAGGTTTAGCCGGCGGAATGCTGCTTTGCATCCCTGCCTCGCTGAGGTAGAGACTCCGGAGCCTTCCACCCCTCTTCCTGCTCCAGCGGGCTGGGTCTCTGCTGGCGAAGGGTATTGCGAAGATGGCAAGACCCACCAAGAGCTCCATGGCTTTCGGCTTGCGATTGTCAGGTCTCCAGAATTAAACAGTCATGTTCCTACTCTCGTTGCTTGACAGAAAGGATTCGGGGACTTGAAGGTGGGTTTCCGCGTAGCACAACGATGCCTCTGTGGCCACTCCACATCATGACGGGAAACATCTGTGTGCCACTAGGTTCAACTCCTTGCACACCATCGGGAAGACTCTTCAGGACTTCTGCATGCTTCGTGGGATTTCCCTTCCTGTCTGTGACCATGCGGAGCAGGACATGAACCAAAAGCGCACTACACTCATACCTCGGCTGCAAGCCAGCTCACAGCATCTTGTGTATTGCTTCGAGCATGTCCTGCCCACTCGTGTCTCACCATCACAGAGATCCGGAAGAACCTTTGTTCGCCGATGGCGACACATTGAGATGTCACCCACCTTCAGACTCCTTCCAGGAATGTGCTGACGTGGCCATGTCGGACCCGGAGAGCGTTGCTTTAGATTTCTCCACTGCCGACGGTGGCTGTGATATACGGCCGCGCATCAAACGATTGGGGCAGGTTAGACTTCTCGTTGAGCAACAAGACCAGTGTGTATTTGATTGCCCGTTGTTTTTTTTACCACATGTGTTTTCAGACCGTCAACATACAAACAAATAGTTTGTGTGCATGTACACATAATTATACATAGATACTATATACATATATCTGTCTGTCTCTGCGTGTGTGTGTGTGTGTGCATATATTTGTATGTATGTATATGCACAGGTGTATGTATGTTCGCAAACACACACACACACACACACTGACACACACACACACACTGACACACACACACACACACACACACACACACCCACGCACGCACGCACGCACGCACGCACGCACGCACACTCGCACACCCATGTGTAGATACGTCAGTACCTGTGTATACATTTGTATATGTATATGTATAGACATGCGTGTGCACATGCGGATATACACATGGATACCTATACACATATGTACATGTGGTCTACATGTACAGTTTCGTTTGCAAATATACACATACAGATACAGATACACATGCAGATACATACACACACATATATATATATATATATATATGCATGCATGCGTCCATATGACAGACACAAACACACACAGAGAGAGATGTGTGGCCCGACCGATTCGGACCCTGCCCGCAGAGTGGTGGGCGACGCCGAGTGTCCTCTGACCTCTGACCCCCGAGCCAGGGTCCGACACAGTGGGTCTGACAGGGTCGGGCCGAACCCTTGGGAACCGTGTACTCGGAATTATCAAACCGGGTCCGAATGGGTGTGCGCAGGCCAACCCTCCTTCCTCGACCCGCTCATACATGTATATGTGTATATGTCTATATAGATATACACATATATATATACACATAGATACATGTATGTATATATACCTATGAACACATAGTTATATAATGTGCATAAAAGTATGCTTTTTATACATATCTATAACATCTGTTATAGAATATATATATATATATATATACATACATGCAGGTTGGTGTAGGTACAACTTTGTGCATGTTGAATGCTCCAGCACCGGCAGACATTGAGCTGCCCAGGTTTCCCGCCGGCTCACTCTTCCAATCCGTTCCTGGCTTCGACTGGTGGGGCTGGGGAGCTGGAGAGTCATCTCCGAAAGGTTCGGGGACCAGGCCTGTGAAACCACGCCTTGCCTTTGGGTTGCTCAAACCTGCTACAAGTAGGCTCTAGGGATTGTTCAAGCCTGCATGGCTAACCGTTGTGTCTCGACAGGAAGCACGATTCTGCGACTTACTGCTTCGTGCCGCAGCAGAAACTTGGCCTTGCAGGGAAGCCACTCGAGCAAGATCCCACATCTTTCTTTGTCCCTGTTCTGCAGTGCAGTGAGTTCCGTGAGGAGAGCGCCTCCAGCGCGACCAGTACACGAAGTGTCTGCCACGCTTCACCCCAACTACAAGGCGTTGATTCAAGAGTCGCCCGCTTGCAATCTCTGCAAAGCAGCACCAGACGCCACCACGATTAGCACCAAGCCGATTTTCCTTGATTGCTATTGCTCGATGTTTTCTTTCAAAGCCTTCCTTGGCCACAGACCCTGCATTCCCACCTTCCTGCGGTTGCTGCGACCTGTAGTTCCCTTGCCGTGCCTGCTTTCTTGCGTTCCTGTAGCCCCTGCTGGCTGCATCTCTGGCAGTCAACTCAACTCATACTGCACGTTCTAGCACTCACTCGCTTTTGCTGTCGTAAGGTTTCGGATGCTGGTATAGTCCTTCACCCAAAGCCTGGAAAGGGAAAGGATGATGGGATAATCCTGCGAGAGAGAGAGAGAGAGAGAGAGAGAGAGAGAGAGAGAGAGAGAGAGAGAGACAGAGAGAGCGAGAGAGGCCACCCAGACTCCAGTAGCCAACTTACAGTACCATAACCAAAATCCGGCGAAGGGGGAAACGTCTTTTACCCAACTAGGTGTCTGCACAGCACACCCCAGAGCTTCCCCAATGATAGCTCATGTGACATTGAATCCGCTGTTTTTATATAGGGGGGGAAGCAAACGCCGGTACAGCAACCTAACTAAAACCTGGCGCAGTGGAGAACGTCCTTCACTTGTCAAGCTGTCTGCACAGTGTATCCCCCAAGCTTCCCAGAACGTAGTCGGACCCTTAGTACTGTTGTTGTTGTGTAGTGGGGAAGCAAGCGCCGGCCGTAGGGACTACCGAGGGGTATCTGCCTGTCGAGGGTCTAAGGAATGAGCTGTAGAGAGCGCGGCGATGAGGCCGGGAAGCACGCTAGAGTACAGGGTCGGAGGTAACCGACAGGCAGACGCTTCCACTCAAACCGACCATGGGGGAAAAATCCCCCAAAGCCTCTTTCCCACCACACAACGGGGGAAAGGGGGCGCCTAGGCGCTGGCTTCAGCCGAAGCCTGACCCCTGTGAAGCGAAGCGAAGCGAAGAGAGAGAGGCAAAGAGAAAGCGAGAGAGAGAGAGAGAGACAAAAAAAACAAAAATTTGGCTCAAGTCGACCTGCGGCCGTCCTCCTTGTGAGGGCGGTACTCGGGGACGCCTGCCGGGGCGGCAGAGAGTGGTCTCTGCCTCTCTGGCGGGTGGACGTTCTCCCGGGTGGGGGGAGGCTTGAGTCATTTCGTCGCGATGTTTCTGCTCGCAAGTGTCCGGGGGGTCAACCGCTAAGACCTGCCCTTCTGCGGAAGGTGGCCCAGCAGTAGGAGGGGGCAGCATGTTAACACGTTGTGGAACACGCGGGGATCTTGGAGAACCATGGGCTCATCCAGGACCAGCTGAAAGAGGACGGACCTAGCAGACTCGCCGACCGAGCACCTCCTTCTAAAGAGCAACGGGGAGCAGACGGAGCTGGACATGAAAGCTGGGTGAGGGACAAGGATGAGGTCATGACTGAGCAAATGGCAGGGACACGAAGAATGATATGTTCGCCACCACTGCAAGTAGAGGGCACAACGCCCATGGGGGGACCCGAACAACTGAAGGGCAGCGACGAAGCAAGTGGTGGCTGAGAGTTTTGTTGCATGAAAGGCACAAGATGCTCTCGGGGGACAACCCCTTTTTTTCCGAGAACCCACCTTTTGCAGGAAGGCTTCTACGGCCTGAGGCCGACTTCTCAAACTTTCCGAGCACCACCTCAGTCAGACAAAAAGAGGGCCCAGCAGCAAGCGGGAACTCTGTAATTAGTGCCGACGGACCTCGCCTTTACTCCTTTTCTTGAACAACAAAGTGGTGTGCCACAGCGGCTAGCACAAGGCTGGCGGGGCCAAAAATTAAATCAGGTTTTTCTCTCCCAAGGGACGCTTTTGCTGAACCTCCTCGTACAGCCGAGCCCCTCCACACGAAGTAGTGGATGGGGATGCGCAACATGCGTGGGACGGCGGGGCTGCCCCCGCCTCAAACCCCGAGCAAAGCAAAGCAAAGAGAGAGAGAGAGAGAGAAAGAGAGAAAGAGAGATAGAGAGGGAGCGGGGCAGCCCTAGCGCGTGGAGCGATGTATACCACGACGACCAGGAGGAGATCTCCCTTTACGGATGCCATGAGCACCACACAGGGGGCGTGCCAACAGAAGCCGACCACCAAGAGGCGGAGCGGGTTGAGGCAGAGGGCGAGGCACTCGAAGAGCACCAAGTTCCAGTGAGCCGACGAAGAGTGAGCAGCAGTCCCACTGACAAGCCATCCCGACAGAAGTGACTAGTCTCCTACTGTAGGTGTCCTCATGCTACCACGGTCCCCAGCAGCTATGATCCTGAGTTCAGTCCGGGGCGTGGCAAGTCGGAGCAACAAGGGGCGACTAGGAACTGTAGCTGTGCCCTTGTACTGTGATCTGCACCACACTATGTCGTCCTATGGCTATGCTGTGTTGTGGAGGAGTTGAAAGGCAGACCCACTGTATGCCAGGTAGAAAGCCCTGTATACTGTGATGTGCATCATATTCGAGACATCGCTTTGTTGCCACCCTGGACAGGGCAATGTAACTAACTGCGGGGAGGCCTCGCCAAATACTCTAGCTACCAGCCGACTACTCCTTGTGTTCCGGGCGTGCCGGGGCAAGGCCACCCACTTTTTGGACTTTCGAGTCGGAGCGGGGCCCCATACTCGTTGTATGCTAGTCTAACCACAGTCTGTAACCGGGGCCCGACTCAGTAGACAGCACCTGCCGCTGCAAATGAAGCTCACACGGCACACTGAGCCTGAGCAGAACACCTGCGATACGAGGCAAGCAGCGGGGCATGAGCAACAATGTATCGTATATTGTATTATGTTGCTTTAAAGCACCATGCTCAGCCCGCGGGGAGCTCGAACCTTTATTGCACGTAAAACCGTGCACACCACCAACAGCACAGGCTGCCCCAGCGGGGGCGTGCCCTCAAGCCTGGAGACAGAAAGAGGGAGAGGGTCCGTAGCAATTTGGATCAAGGTGCTCCACATCGACTCCGGCCTCGTCAAGTTCTCCGCCAGTTCAAGCGGGGATTGAGGGGGAGCCCTCCGTGTTGTGCTCCTGGAGGGACCGATCCTTCTTCTTCCCTCCAAGAAGTAAGTTAAAACAGTCCTCGGTGCGCCCCAGAACCATAGAGCTCAACGTCACAGTCGGGACACTTCGTCGAGCATGCACAAAAGCTCACTCCTGGTGCTGCCAACCAACTGCCATTTTGGCATAATGACAGGTCCGGCTTTTGCGGACCTCTTACGGCTCTCACCGGTTGAGAACATCGCTATCCCGAGCCTCAAGGGCGAGCAGAAAGCGAAGAAGTTGATCGAGGTTGCTCCAACCTCGGTCTTGCGGGCCATTCGTGTTCGGGACAAGCGCAGGAGAACTTCAAGAACTACACATCCAGTCCCGAGTCCCGCACGTCAAGGACGTTTGGGGCACTGCTGCGGAAGAGCGGCATTGCCAGGGCTTGGTCGCTTTGGTCCGTGCTGCCACTGACCAACGCGAGGCCATCCTCGATGACCTCCCCGTGGTGGCTGCGGGGCTCGGCAGTGACCGAGCAGCGAACATCGAGGGGGCGGAGGGCATGAACGTTCAGGCCGCGTGCGTTGCGCAGGTCAAGGACGGGCTTCGATGCAGTGTGAGTTTTTTCTGTGACGGATTCGAAGTGCATATTGCTGTGAATGTGCACACATGGAGCCGCTCAACCACGTCGGTTGGGGGCCACAGTTTTGAGAGATGTGATACGAAAGATGCGCACGTCTGCGCTTGCGACTCTCCTGAGCGCCGCAGACTTGCAGGGTTGAGAGGGATCAGAATCGGAGAGGCTGCTCACCCGGGACCGGGGGGCAGCAGGACTACGAAGAGAAGGCGAGTGAAAGGTCCATCTACTGATGGACAGCTGGGCATGTTGATCCAGCTTGTTCAGTTGCTGTTGCAGATGTTCGCCCAGTTCTCGGGCGGTAATGCGGACATGTCTGGCCTGATCAATCAGGCTAACAAAGCCATTAAGGGCTTGCAAGGAGGTGGAGACTCTGAGCCGCGCACGCCGGCCCGGAGAGTCACGATACCGGAGTCTGTTGAGGAACCCTGGCAGGAAGTTGCCCGCCGCAAAGGCAGACGCCAATCCGACAAGTCTGGGAGTGGCACGCCTACGCCGCCAACTCCGGGCAAAGGATCCTCACCGACCACTTCATCGCCTGCGCGGCCTGCCAAGGGTGGGACTGCGAAGAACGGGAGGGATCCTATGCCCCATGGCGCCAACAATCCCAAAGGGGGTCAAGGCCAGGGAAAGGGAGGTGGAAAAGGCGGGTCCAAGGAGGAGGTTGCTAAAGCCGCGCGGAAGGAGGCGGGATCTCCGACCGAACGTTTCGCTCTCCGAGCCGACGATTGGCATGGCAAAATGATCAATTTCGAGGAGTTTGGTGACTACAGCGGCGCTGGCGAGTCCTTGCTGGTGTTTGCGCGGGACGACAAGGAGGCGGATGTTGCCAGTACGATGGCCAAATCTGGTTCCTTGCGCTCATCGGTGCTGATTATTTGGCCAGACGCCAAAGGCACGTTGCAGCTTCCCTTCTGGAGAGGTTCCCGTGTCGAGCTGCGAACCGTTTCGTCCTGCAGCGTCCCTGTCTCCGGTGTCGCGCTGCCCTGCCTCAAGGGTGAAAAGAAGGACATAAAGAAGGTTGCGGTGCAAGAGACGGTCGTCCTTCGCTTGGCTCTGGTCAAGAGCATGGCCCCTCGCGACGACTGGGAGCAGGCGCACAAGAGCCTCAAGCGGTTTGTCCAGTCGAGACTTGCGCAGGTGCAGGACCTTTGGGGTGGAGCCACGAGCAGAAGCGAGGTGATGCCCTTGTCGCCCTTGCTCGACTCCCGAAGGCGAGTGCGGAGCAGGCTCTGGCTGGCAGCGGCGCTAACGGCCTGTTCTGGGAGCCGCTTGCCCGCAGGCTTGGCGACAAGACCTACAACGTCAAATGGATCGACCAGTTGGAGGAGGAGAGCGAGGCTGACTACCTCAGGCGGGCGCTGGCTC